CAGGGATTTTCGGCTCCAGTTGCATTAATGGTGGCCGAGCCTGGCTGCCTGGGGAAGGCTGGCCACATCGCAGGGGTGCTGGAGGACCACAGAGGGGGCTTTAGGGATGGTTCGGGGCTGGCAGCCTCGTCCTGCCTAGGCGGATTGATTCACTCAGGCTCACAAGCTGCTGGCCTGGAAGCTGCCCTGCGCAGCCTTGTTCCCCGCTCCAGTCTGAAGATCGGCTCCCCCCCCCCAGGTTTTCACACCGAGGCTAGGCGGCCTGCCAGCCTTGAAGCCGTTCGCAAGTGGGCCGGGCCGAGCAGGAGCATAAGCACTCTGGGGCTTTGGGAGGTTTTCAGGCAGGCAGGCAGGGAGGGCCCTTGCCTGGGGGCCAGAGCAGCCTCCCCCCACACCCCCAGCCCCTCTGCGCTTTCAGCATAGAAGTGCCTTCCTGTCCGCCCATTGGGAGAAAAGCTGCAAAGGATTGTCATCTAAAAGTTTATTCCTCAGAAACCGCCACCAGACTATATTATAGCCACATGGATGGAGTCAGCACACAAACCAACTAAAGCCGCCCCCCCATGCCCCAAAATGTCCCAAGTGAGGCGAACAACCCAGCAGCCCCAGAGGGAAAAACAGGAGTCATCTACCACATGCCGCAACGAGGGCCCCAACCACTACGCAGGGCAAGCAGGCAGAAGGCGGGCAGAACTCATCCAGGAATGGCAACGAGCAGCCAGAAGACGCGAGACGGAGGCTCTTGGATCTAGTTTCAACTGGGGAACCGTGACCCCCCCCCCTGGACCAAGCCAAGCCCCAAAAGAAATGCCAGGGGGTTTCCAGAAGTCTGGACAAATGGGCCATCAATCGGACCCCAAAATGAGACCTACACCGGGTGCAAAGGAGACACTCAGCAAGGCCAAAAAGGGAACAAAGAGAGCGAAATGCTCCCCCTCCCAGCAATCAGCACACAGATGACCTCCAAGCATGGCCTTAACTCCAGGATCAACATCAGACCAGCAATAATCAACAATGTCCCTGTCAAGAAACTGCCAAACAAGCTGAACAAGAAATGGCCCAACCAAAGAGTCTCTGAGGAGCAGCCCCAGCCACGCGGACAGGGAGAGGAGACCAGAAGGACGTTGACTGAGAGCAACTGCCCCCCCCCCCCCCCCGCCTTCTGATGCTGTTGCCCAGTTTGGGTCATGAAACCTCAAGAAAACAATCTGGCTCAGAGAGCCCCCAGGGACCCCTCCGTCCAACGCTGGGCTGCAAATATTCTCCTCTGGTATCCGTACCTGGAAAGTCTACCTACCTCCGGAGGCATCTGGAAGGCGCAGCCCCTGGAGCGTGGCTTCACTCTTCCTGAAATTCTTCCAGTGGATAAAACAGCTGCCAGCCTTGAGGGGAGCTGCTCTGTTTGTGTCACCAAGGCCAGAGCTATTTTTAGAAAATCCTAGATGCAGCCGGGAGCACGGAGGGATGTCCAGGCAGCTCCCAAAAGGGGAACAGCCGGGCGAGGGAGGGAGCAGCTGGGGGCTTCCCTCTTTCTGCCAGGCTGTAAGGGAGGTTCTTGGGAGGGATTGCCCCCCTATCATCCTCAGCCCCCTCCTGCCCAGGAACAGGTCCTGGGGGAGGAGGGGGGCTTCTGAGCCCTGCAAGGACCCCTGGGTCTTGCTGTCCTGGAGGCTCAACAGCCACCTGCCTGCCTGCTGGAGGGGGGATGCTCAGCAGGCCAGAGGGGGAGCAAGGCTGGGGGGGGGGGCGGTGTCGAGTGAAGGGGCAGCTGGGGATTGCAAGGAGAGGCTGGAAACAGGATCAGAGCCTGGCCATCAGTTAGCGGAGGCTGAGGCCTGGGCTGGCCAGCCCAAAGCAGGGGCTCCCTCCCAATTCTGGGACTGTCTGCACCAAGGGCTCCTCCTCACTGCTGGCACCCATGGATCTGTGTGGGAGGAGGCCTGGGTTTTAGCACCCCCCCCCATCTCCCACCTGGGCTGGGATGGGGAGTAACATCAGCATAAGGACTTGCCTGAGGCTGTGTACCTGTGGCTGTGGGTCTCCTCTCCCAGCTGCAAGGCTCCACGGTGAAGGTGGAAGGTGGGGGGTGCCACAACCATCTGCATGGTCACTCCCAATGGCCCAGCCTCTGCTTTGCCCCCTGCCCGCAATCTGGTATGGGTAGAGAGGTAGCTGGGTCCAGCTCTTTCACTTCCATCTGCAGCCCCCCTTTCAGGACAGACCTGCCCGGGCCAGCCACCCACCCACCCAGAAAAAGGGCCAGATTGACAGCACAACTAGTTTTGATGGGAAATTCTCTCCCTCGAGGTGTGTTTTCCTGCAGGTAACTTGGGGAGGGCAGCCTCTCACAAAGCTCATGTGGGGATGTCCACCCAGGAAATGGATCCACGCAGGGCCGTCTCTCCTTGGTCCAGCTTTAGGCCTGCTTGATCCTTGCATCCTGCAATTGATCAGGACCGGGCAGGAAGCAAGCTGAATGAATCTAAAGTACTCAGGTCCACTTGAGAAATGTCCCCAGGCCATGTGGGATCTCCCCCCCCCCCCCCCTCCGCAGTCTTCCTGCATGGCAGTGCCGCCAAGAGAGCACATTACACAAGCTGCAGCTACAGTTTGAGGGCTGCAGCTTGGAAAAGCAATGGGGAGGGGCACCCAGGGAGTAATTGTCTCCTGGGACCACTGCCATCTTTAAGGCTGGCGTTCCTTGAAGCCCAAGAGGCCCTGTAAAAATACCAGCATGGCTTTCTCTGCCCTGCATCCTGGCTCAAGGAACGGCCACTCTCCCCCCCCCCCGCTCCACACGCCCACTGCGGGATCCTCTCGGAGGGCTCCTTCCTGTTCTGGGGCCCAAGGGGGTTGCCCGTCCTCAGCATCCAAGGAAGAAGAGCCCCCCTCCCCACCCGGCAGGCCACCCCTGGTTGATCCCCCCTAGGAATCAGAGGGGCCCAAAGGGACGCACACGTGTGGGGCCGGCCTCCATGGGTTGAACCACACTAGGAACACACGGCGACCCTCTCCCCACCTGAGACAGGGAGGGGCAGCCTAAAGGACCCTGCATGACCCACCAGAGAGGAGAGCCTGTCCGAGAGGGAAACCTAACCCCCCCCCCTCACTTAATCTTGCAGATGCTTGCTCTGCCCTATCAGCCTCCCCACTAAAAAGGCCTGTCGTGGTGGGGCGGGTAAGGGAGACCGAGAGGGACCCCTCAAGGCGCCCCAGTCTTACCCTGGCTGAGCAGAAAGGCTTCTCCCGGGACAGGGACAGAGAGAGGCAGACTGGCTGCTCCGCATTCAGATCCCCTCGGCCCACCCAGGGCAGTTTGGGCAGCTTGGGGCAATTTCCACTTGGAGGGGAGCAACCCACCCCCTGCCCCACAGGCGTGCTTAGCCTTTTCCACCCCCAGTGGAGGTCAGGCTGGCTCAGCCTGTGACAGAGGAGCAAGTGCTCAGCCTGGGGAAAGTGGGGAGTGAGTGCCTCTCTCGGTGCCCCGGCAAAAGTAGAGCTGTCCTGCAGGGCTTGCAGAAGAGCTGCCAGAGGGAGCGGGTCACAGAACAGAATCTCCTGCCAACGTGTGGCTGGATCAGCCCTTCTCAGGACTGGACAGCTCTGGCCAATTGGACACGACTGGCCAGTCAGCAGAAGCAACAGAAAATTGGGGTCACAGCTGGCAGAAAGTGGGCAGAGACAATTGGGTGTCAAACCTCACTGCCAAATCAACCTGCAAAGATGGCAGCTTGCCCAAAGAGAGAGAATCCAGCGGGAAAGTCCCCTGGGTCCTGGAATGATTTGCACCTGGGACTGGAGAAAAGCACAGGAGACCGCCAGCCGGGGCAGCCCCCCCCCTCCCCAGTTTGCAGGGGATTCTGCTCTGTGCCTGCTTTCCTCTGGGTGGGAGCTGTCACTTGCAGAGGCTGCCGTCCTGGACCCTTCACCTTCACACCACCCCCTGCAGGGGGGGGGGGGGGGGCGCAGGGCTGCTGGTTGGTGGGCTTTGGAGGCCTGAAATCCACATGGCCTGGCATTGCCTCCCTCTCTGGGCAGAGAGAGGTGCCCAGAGGTACCATCCGCGGAATGGGCCCACAGAGGAAGCGGGAGGGGGGACGGGACAGAAGTTTAAAGGGGAGGGGAGAATGGGAGGTACAGGGCACAGCTAAGAGCACCCAGAGAAACAAGCCTCGCTGACTGGGAGGCATTTCGGAAGTGAAAAGAGCCCTAAACTCCGAGGAAGGTAGGAGATAATTCAACACGGCAGAGAAGTCAGAAAGGCACCCGCGAGGGAAATAGAGCCCAGATTTCTGAAATATAACCGGCCCAGAAGCCCTCTCTTCTCGGGGGAGCCGGGGACAAACGTGGCTCTCGACAAAGAACTCCCCCCCACACACATGCACACGCTGCCCCTTGCCTGGGAAGCAACAAGGCGGCGCGGGGCGGGGAGGACAGGTAACGCGCCCCGGTGCCTGAGGGCTTGGGATCTGAAGCAGCCCCTGGTCCGCCCAGCTGCCCGCCGGGGATTTGGCACCGCAGGCCGCTGGCCCTCCCCCCTGCAGGATCACCCCCGACCGGCAGCCCCCTTTCCTAAAGGCCTCCTCCTGCTCCGGCGGCCCTTTAGTCCGCGGGCCGGGCAGGGGTCTGACTTGCGCACCCCGAAAGCGCCATCCCTGGGAGCAGCCAGCCTCCCTCCGACTTCTTCCTGGCCCGCGGAGTCGGAGGAGGAGGCCGAGCAGAAACGCCTCCGCCCCCCGCCCCCAGCCCCGCGACGGAGAAGCCACCCCTCCGAGCCCAAAGTTCCGGGCAGCTGCGGCAAGAAACAAGCTTGTTGCGGGCCGGCGGCGGACAAAAGAAGCTGCCGCCGGCCGCCCGCTCCCGGCTGGTTGTGGTCCTCGGCGAGCCGGGTCATTGGCGCCATCTCCCGCGGAACGCCGCGGTTCCTGCCCCAGCCCGCCAATCCCCCTTTCGCGCAAAGACTCCGCTCGGAAGCCAAGCGGGGGGAGCCGGGCACCTACCGGGCAGGGCGAGGAACGAGGCTTCGGCGGGGAAAGGGAGCAGAGGCGAGCAGCAATCGACTGGGTGAGCGGCAGGATGACCCGTGCCAGCCGCCCTCTTCCTCGGCGGGGCTCCGTGGCGCATCGGGAGCGGCGATCCCTGCCTGTTCGCCCGCTGGCTCTCTTCTCCACGCCGGCCAGCTACCGTGTGGCTCGGGCGGGGCGTGCAGCGCGTCTGGGATGCTGCTCTGGCCCGCGAGCGCCTCGGGGGCTGGAGGACCCCCCCCCCCCCCCCCCCCGCCTGCTCGTTCCCGCTGCCGCGCCGTGCGTGGGCCCGCGCTGCGTCCGACAGGGCGCCCTCCTGGACAGCCGAGGCTGCGGGAGAGACGTTTCGCGCGCCGCGCCGCGCCACGTTCCGGGCCCGCTGGCAGATTGCGAGCGCCGCCTCGGCAAACGAGCCTCGGTGGAGCAGGACGCCCCGACTTGGAGCAAAAGAGGCGGTGCGCGGCCTGTTGTCCCGTTTGACCGGCAGCGGCCCTGGAGCCGCTCCGACGGGGGCAAACTGATGCCGGGACCGCGAGCCCACAGCCCGCCCGCTCGCCTTCCGCTGGGGCACCCGGCTCCCTGTCTCTGGCGTCACGCCGAAGGTGCCCAGCCCAGCAGACGCTCCCGGGAAGAAACGAAGGGCCACTGCCAGGGCCAAAGCGCCACTCTCGGTCCTCAAACGTCCAAGGGGGCTGCAGTCACGCGGGGCCAGGACACGCGAGGAGCCCTGCGTGGCTGAGAAAGGAGCAACCGAGCCCGCCCCTCCCAACGCCCGATCCCGAGCAAAAGGAGGGCAGCGGGGCCGGGGCCTGGGGGTGCTGACCTCTCGCGCTCCGGGTGGCGGAAGAGGGGTCCCCGTTTGGCGAAGGTAGCTCCTCACCTTCGGTCTCCAAGACTGCCCTGGGGCGGCGATCTTCCGCCTCCTGGCCATGAATGCTCCCTTCCCTGCCGGAGGGGAGCCCAGAAGCAGCCCGGGCCGGGCTTCATCCCTGCTTTGAAGAAGCTCTGGGCCAGGCCCGTGAAGAACCGTGCCAAGGACCAGCCGACTCAGGAGCTTAGAGTGGCCGCGTACCGTAGAGGGGGGAGAGGGAAGGCGGCGCCTTCCTCCACTTCCAGTCTCTGAGGGTCCCCGTGGCCCTTCTCTGGATTCATTTCCCAGAGCGGGGCTGGGGAACAGAACGTGGGGCTTTCTCAGGCGGGGACAAAGGAGGGGCTCCCCTTCCCTAATTGGAGGGATCAGAAAGGGTGGCTTTGTGGACGTCCCTGCAGCCCCTTCAACTTGTCACCGGGCAGGGAAAGATCCTTCCAAGTTGACTGGGTCAGGTGCCTCCTCCTCTCCCCTCCCTCCACACTGCTTGGACCTTCCTGTCTTATGGGATATTAGGCAGCCCCTCCATTTTATGTCATTAGCATTAACTGTTTTTAAGGGACATTTTGGGATTTATCATCCCTCCCCCTTTCTAGTTGTTCTTTCCTCCTTTCAAAGGTAGAATGACAAAACAGTGGAATCTGCTTGTCAAATACACACAGTGGGTGCCAAACAGTTCCCAGAACAGAATATTTACTCCTCATTGTGAACATGCTTGTCAGCCTTCAAGATTTTCTTCATTTGCTTTGCATCTTTCGGCTGTCAGAAGTGGGGGGGGGGGGGGGGGGACATGGTTATGGGGAGTGGGCTGGAGGTGTTACAAAACGGAACGGTATAAATTGGGAGGGGGAAGGTTCTTGCTATCCTATGCGCAGCTGCAACTCTTTATCAAACTATGTCAAGGTCAACGGACAGAAGCCTCATCACCACCTGGAGATGCCCACATGATGCTATACACAACTTTTAACTGGATGAGCCAATTGAACTATTGGGGGTGGGAACGTTGCCATCACTTTGTATGTGTGATTTACCCGCTGATTTTCTCAGATTCAGAATTCTTTTGTTGCTACCACTTGACTTCCAGTAAAAGATATATTTTCTCTAATTAATGGAGTCTAAGTATTTCTTTCTTGGATCTTGAATGGAGCACCATCTGACAATGCTGTTCCTACTGCTCAGCCTGTGCTGCACACAGGCTGCTGCCAAGGGACTCCCTGGGACTGGTGCTCACGGGGGGGGGGGGGGGGTTTCCTTCCGATGTTGCACCACAGGAGTGGAATTTGTGGAATCTGGGTTGGGGCACGGCACCTCTGTGCAGCCCGTCCAGACTCACACATTCAAAGTTTACATCTGAGCCAATTCACCGGCTCAACAGAGGCACAAGGAGCGGACAATTCCCATGCTGACCTCAGCCAAGGAGCCATCACAGCCTCCTCTGCCTTCCAGTCGCATGCTGGTTGCCTTGAGGGATGACCTGGGCCTGAAGTCCAACGGGAGGAGCCCACAGTTCCCATGTTATCTTGGCCAGACCCACCCAGGGGGTGCAGGACTTGGCTTCCCTCCCAGCCGGAGCTGCAAGAGGGTTGTTGTTGGGCCGTAGGGGGGTGTCTTCTCAGCAGCGGCAGCCCTAACCAACCGAGCTCTCAGCTGTGGAGCAGGGTATCCGGTCACAGCTGGGACCTCTGGAGGGTGGCCTGCTTGGCTCCCCCATCCTTCATCATAGCTGCCGAAAGGCCTAAAACCTCGCAGAGGGTGGGATCCCTTCCTTTGCCCACCTCGATCTCAAGGATGGACATCAGGTTGACCGCAGGGCATCATCCATCCGATGGTGGCTAGACAATGGTGGGTTTGTGCTCCGGGCTGTGAGCTCCTGGCTGCCCGCTTGAAAGAGGGCTGAAGCAGACATCCTAATAATGCAGGGATGTCAACCTCAAGGCCCGTGGCCTGGATCTGGTCCATGGTGCCTCTGCCAGGGAAAACAGAGCTTTCACTGGCAGAGGGTTACAGGAGGCCGTCGCAGCCATAAACGGAGCTTGGTAGGCCGTTTTCGCTGGCAAAGCGCTGACAAGTGACATCAAGCTGGCCACGCCCACCCTGGCCACGGTTACCCCGGCCCGCCGAGGTCAAACACAACTTGATGTGGCCCTCAATGAAATTGAGTTTGACCCCCGTCCTAACGCAGCCAGGAGGACGTGCAGATGGGAGGTTTGGGGATCTATTGTCATTCCACCATGAGAATTTCTGGACTATCGGACAAAATGGACATCTTGGAGATGAGGGAGGGAGGTTTTCTTGAATAGTGACCAGTGGTGGGATTCAATTTTTTTTACTGTGGGCGTGGCTTGGTGAGTGTGGCAGGGGAAGGATACTGGAAAAATATCCCCTCAGAAGGTGGTACTTGCTGGTTCTCCAAACTACTCAAAATTTCTGCTCCCGGTTCTCCAGAACGCTTTGGCTGGTGGTTCTGGCATGGTGTGAGCCAAGGAGAGGCCCATCTTTGAGCATTTCCGTTTCCTTTTGCCTGGGGCCCTGCTGGCAGCTGAGCTCCGGCCATCAGCCCCTTGCCCACTCAGATCTGCCCTCTGCTCTTCCTTTCTGGCTGCTGGATGTTTCGTGATCTTCCAGGGATAGATTAATACGGCCCCACTTGTGAATGCCTATTTTGCTTCAGGGAGGTGAAAATGGAGGGCCATGACACCACCACCACCACCCCTCCCAAGGATGGCTTTACGCTGGGTGAAAAGCTAGTCTAACAGCCCATGTAGCTGAATGTAAGTAAGTGTAAAGCTGTGCACTCTGGGGACCTGAGAGGGTCTCCCTGCCCCAACTTCACACATGCACTGAGCGGATCTGAAACTGACCGGCAAAGAGATCTGGGGGTTAAAATGGAGAACTCAAGAAGAGCCAGCTCCGTCTAATACTTAACGCTCCAGGCTAAAAACCAGGAGATTCTGAGTTCTAGTCCTGCCTTAGGCATGAAAGCCACCCATGGGGGACGGGGCAGCTTTGGGCCTGTCCTTTTCTCTCAGCCCAACCCACCTCAGAGGGCTGATGTGGAGGAAATAAGAGGAAGGAGTATTACTTATGTTCACTGCCTTGGTTATTTATAAAAATAATAAAGGCAGGATAAGAAAATCTAAAAACTATGCTGATTCAGCATACGGTGGCATATTAGGAAAGGGATTAAAAATAAGACAGCCAATGCTATTATATTCATCCTATTCAAACATGTAATGCATTTCATTGCAGTCCTGCCTGGAGAATGTTTGGAGAATGGTGCAATAGAGGTCGGGCTCTGAAAAGTGCACTGGGGAGGAACACAAGCGGGGCACAGAAACGCCTGGAGGGAAGAAGGCAAGCAGCTGGGTGAGGGCGGTTTTCTCACCCAAGGAAGCTGGCGGGCGGGGGGGGGGGGGGGGGGGGGGGGGGGGGAGGTCCAGGAGAGGGGCTGGAAGGGATTTCTTCTCCACGTGGGCTGCAATGATGAGCAGAGGTTAAACTCCAGGATTCACCTCAGGCCAATCAAGAAGGAAACCATCCCCCAATCTGGGAACTGCCAGACAAGCCAAGAGTACACAGACCGACCAAAAGACCCGCAAGACGACAGACAGGGAGGGACTCTAAGCAAACCCTTCCTCCCTACTAGTGCTGAGGGTGTTGTCCAGTTGGGTCACGGAACGCCTGCAAGAAAACCAGCCAAGCTCGGAGGGCACCAAGGACCCCCTACCTTCTAAAACGGATGATGTTGCCGAGTTGGGTCATGAAACGTCTGCAAGAAAACCAGCCAAGCTCGGAGGGCACCAAGGACCCCCCGCCCCAAGTCGACCCCCAGCTACAAAGGTTCCCCCCGCGGGTCTCGTCACTCCCAGGCGCGGCCAGCAGGGGGCCCCGAGGGGAGAGGGCGCACCCCTCCTCCGCCTCGCTGCGCTCTTGGCCCGGCGCCGCTCGCTCGGCGGGCGCCCTCCCACAATCCGCCGCTGCGGGCACCAGAGGCCTCGGCTGGCGGCTAGCGCGGCCGGAAGCCGGCCTCCGGAAGAGGCGGAGCTCCCGGCGGAAGTGGCCGCTCAGGTTCCTGGGACGGCGGGGATGGCGGCGGGTGGCGACTTCGGCTCCGGGGCGTCGTCGGGCCGGCTGGACCCGGGAGCGCTGATGGAGCAGGTGAAGGTGCAGATCGCCGTGGCCAACGCGCAGGAGCTGCTGCAGGTGAGCGGGAGTCGCCCTCGTGGCGGCGAGTCTGGCGGGACCGAGGCTGCTTCGGGGCTAAAGACCCCCGGACTGTGCTGCCCCCCCCCACCGTCTGGGCCCTTTGCGGGGGGGGGGGGGGGGGGCCCCGGGGGGCCCGGGGGGGGGGGGGGGGGCTCTGCGGGGCGCGGCTCTTCCGGGGGGGGGGGACCCAGCGGCGCTGACCTTCCTCTGATCTCTCCCCTCCCCCCGCAGAGGATGACCGACAAGTGTTTCAGGAAATGCATCGGGAAGCCCGGAAGCTCCCTGGACAACTCGGAGCAGGTGAGCCCTGCGGCCCCCAAAGGCCCTTTGGGGCGAGTTGCCTGCCGCGACCCCTCCCCTCGCCGTCCTCCCCCCTCACCCGTCCTCTCCTCTGCTCTTCCCCCCCCCGCAGAAGTGCATCGCCATGTGCATGGACCGCTACATGGACGCCTGGAACACGGTTTCCCGCGCCTACAATTCCCGCCTGCAGAGGGAGAGGGCCAACATATGAGAGGCGGAGCGAGGGCGACTCTGGCCGGGACCCTTGCAAAGGGCAGCAGCGGAGGACTGTTAATCGGTTGGCGCAATAGCCATTAAAACGTTGACCCACACGCCCCTCTGTCGTCCCCTCGCCCTGTGTCTCTCTGTGGAGGTCTTGGCTGCAGCCCCCAGGAGGCGAGGCCGGACAGCCTCGAGGGGCTCATGTTGCTCAGAAGGGGTAGGGTCCTCATTTCCTCTTTCAGAGTTGTGTCTGAATTTGAGGAATGGGGCTGCTGGTCTGCTTTCTGGGAGGCAGCTCCTGATGGGGCTGGAGAGGAACAGAAGACCAGAGTTCTGTTGCAGCCTGTGTTACTGAGGTCCGACCTCAGCCCCTCCCTCCTTGAGGCTGGCAGAAACAAGGACTGCCCCCTGCCCATTCCCTGCTGCTGGGCTCTTTTCGCAGCCAAAGCCCCCTCCCCTGGCCCCTTGGCAGCGAGTGGGCTTCCTGACATGGCAACGCCAACACAGGCTGCTGATCATCTTGGTTTGGGGGCATCCTTGAAGAAGGGCGAGCTGTCCCTCTGCTTTGTGGGAGTGCAGAGAAGCTGGTTTGGGCTAAGTAGGATGTGGTTGCTGAGCCTTGTTCCATTGGCCAGCAGTGGAAGAGACTTTGATCCCTAGAGGGCCAGCATCTCTCCTTGGATAAAATGAGGCAGGCGAGGCTGGGCACAGCTAGAATGGGTAGTGCATGGATTGTCCCTGAGGCTGAGAAAGGACATGGAACATTAGTCCAGGCTTACAGATTATGAGAACTGCTGGAGTGTGTTTTGTTAACCTTTCTTGAGCACATTGTGTGCGTCCTGCCATTTGTGGGTTGGCGAGAGGAAGCGGCAGACGGGCCAATGCAGGGAAGATTGCCCTGGTTAACACATCCTCCCTTCCACATTCCTCTTGTCTGAAGATGCAGCATTTTCTTGGCAGGAGGGAAGCCATCCCGCTCGGAAAGCTTGTGTGAAAACTGCAGGGGCTCCTCCTGACAAGCTGTGGGGGCTGGGGGTGCTAGAAACGATCCCCTCCCAGCAGGCCCAGAGAAACCTCATGGAAATTCACAAGTGGGTTATTTTCATTTAATGTACCTGCAGCTGGAACAGAGCCCTGTCTGGCAGAATTCTTCTTTTCGGGAAGGGGTTCTGGCAGGATCGGGACTATGAGGGGGTCCGTCTCTGTGGGCCTTGCCCCCCCTGCTGGCCCCGTGAGTAGGGGGTTACGCCTTGAGGTTCTGTGCAATCCAGCCCCGGACTGCTGTCACCTTGGCATAGACCCCGGGGAAGGAAGGCCGGGCGCAGCCATAGCCCCAGCTGGTTATGCCTGCCAGGAACCAGCGGCCAGATGGCTCTCTGCAGGCCAAGGGGCCACCTGCATCTCCCTAGGGAGCAAGAGGGGGGAAGCATGAGGGCTCCGCAGCCCTGAGCACAGGATGGGGGGGAGGGTGGCTTTGAGGGGCTGCCTCTCCCACCCCCTGCAGAGCAGCACCCCAAGGCCCTTTGCCATTCCTGGCGGCCAGAGGGCAATGCTGGTTGGGCTCACCGAGCAGCTGTCGATGCCCCCCTGTGGGAAGCCAGCACACAGCATCCGGCTGCTGATCTGGATGGGGTAGAACCTCCAGCAGTCCTGCTCCCGGATCACCTGGACGGCCGCCTTTTGCAGTCGCGTGCTCGTGAGGCCTGCGGGTAGCAACACGCACACACACACACCCCAGCACCCCGGTCACATTTCCACCCTGAGCTGAAGGACCCCAAGCCAGGATACCCCCTGGGCTCGGTCTGACGGGGGGTTGGTGGGCCCCGGGGCCTTGGATTGAGCTGTGCCCCATGGGGACAGGGCTTCTCGGGAACATCCGTACCCCCCTCCTTAGTGGAGCCCCAGCCGGTGATGACACAGGGCCTGCCCTCGCTGAAGACGTGGGTGCGGTCCGGGAGGCAGATGGGCCGGACGGTGCTGGTGTAGCGCAGGGGGGTGGCCAGCTCCAGCAGGGCCACGTCGTAGTCCAGCATGTAGCCGTTGTAGAAGGGGTGCTTGTGGATCTGGGCAATCTTCTCCACTCGTCCGTCGAGGCCGCTCAGGAAGGGCGTCCCCAGGACAGCCACCCACATCCTGGGATTGCTGTAGCTGCAAGAGGCGAGTCTGTCAGCCTTCCTTTTGGAGGGCTCAGCACCCGCCCTCGGGCCTGGCCAGGGCAACCCTGCAGGGTCCTGAGCCCAAGAGGCCTGGAGTAGGAACAGAAGGGGGTGGCTTGGAGGGGTCTGGGCCCTCCTCCGGTCCCCCCCTCCCACTCACGCGTCAAAACAATGGGCAGCCGAGAGCAGCCACCGCTCGGCGATCACCACAGCCCCACACGCGTGCTGCCTTCGCCGTAGCCACAGGCTCGCCTGCCACGGCCACTCGCCCTGCACTGCACCGCTGCCTCCCACGATTTTGCTGAAGGCTGCCGGGGGGCCCAGGCCGCAGTCTGCCGGAAAAGGCCAAAGCAGGGGCTGGAGGGAGGGCAGGCCAGCCCAGCAACTCCCCCCCCCCCCATCTGCTGGAATGGGTGCGGGAGGGGGCCGCCCCACTTGCACGCCCTGTTTCCAGCGCCTGATGGATGCAACTGAAGCGCTCTCCTAGCAGCTTGACCCAGGGCCGGCCTGCCTCCTCCCACTTCCCCCCTTCCCCCCCATGTGCTGCCACAGGGTTCCCCCCCCTCGGGTGCAGCTGGGCCAAAGCCACCTTTGGAGAGGATGGGTACAATGGGGGGGTCATAGGGGAAGTGGCTGGCAGCCCCTCGTCAGAGACTTCCCAGCACTCTATTGGGAGACCCCCATCCTTCGACATCTCCGTGTCCATCCCTTTTTCCAAAGTCCTCCCTCCCTGCTGGACCAGCCCTGGCGGAATGGAGGTGCGTGGGGCCGGAGGGGGGTCGGAGCAGGAGGGAGGTACGCACTGCAGCCAGTCTCATCCCAGCCGTTGCCGCAGTCGATGATGCCATCGCACTCGGGGTTTGCTTTCCCAATGCAGACCTTGTTGGAGCACTTGAACGTGGAGGGCGTGCACGGCACAGCTGGGGGAGGGGGTTTAAGCAGGTGAGTCCAGCTGAGAGGCCCGGCTCCTTTTCCCCACAGGGGGGCCAGAATTCCCGGGGCAGGCGCTGCAAGGTGGAGTCAGGACCGGCAGCTCTGCCTGAGGGCATTTCCTGGCAGGCCGCCTGTCACCAGCAATTGTGGCAGAGGAGAGGAAAGCCGCTGAGGTCTCCCTGCCCTGCTGGCTTGCACACCCCACCTACTTAACGCACTGAGCCTTTTCTTCCTGCCCTGTACCTGGTGGCTGGGTGGCTTTGGAGGCACCGGCTTCCAGCCCAGATGTGGCCAGGCTGGTAGGGCTTTGCTCCAGGCCAGAGGCGGTCGAGGCAGAGGGGGTCCTGGATCTGAGGGGCTCTGCAGTGCCGAGACAGGATGAAATGATGCCTAGGATCCAACTCTTGAGCTTGGTGATCCGGGCGTAGACCCCTGGCTTCTTGGCTTGCCCACAGCCAGTGCCCCAGCTCACCAGCCCAGCCAAGTAGAAGGTTCCCGGGGTCTCCTCGCAGGCCAGGGGTCCCCCCGAGTCGCCCTGAAAAGAAGGCAGGAGGAAGCATCTCTTGGCAAGTGCAGTGGCTTAATGGTGGATGCCCCTTCTGTTATGGCCAAGGCAATTCCTCCGTATATAGAGGAGGCTGAAAGTGTTCTCAAGTGGGACCTGGACCCGAAAATGCCCTAAATGCTCGGGAGGGGGGGGCGCAGGAGGCCCTTAACCGTCCCCCTCTCCGGTCACCTGGAGAGCTGGCCGCAAGTTCCCTGCTTGGCAAAAAGTGGCAAATGGGCAGGTGGGAGAGGGAGGCCGAGGCCTCCCCTGGGAAGGAAAGTGGAGCAGGCAGCACAGACCAAAGATGCATGTCAGGAGCAGGACCCCACAGAGGAGGGGGTGTGGAGAAGGGGCTCCCCTCACTGCCCTGGCATCTGGCCCCGGAGAGCCGGTGGGTTGCTCCAGCGGTAGTGGCACAGAGAAGCCGCAACCGCCAGAGTCCGAGAAGGCCCAGAGAGCCTTTGAACTGCAGGGCGAAGGAAGGGGAGGGGTCCAGGGAAACTGGAGCAGCAGCAGCAGCAGCAGCAGCAGGGGTGGAGTGAGCAGTCAGGCCTGGGAGAGAGACTGCGAAGAGTCCGTGCAGAACATCGAACGGCAGGGTCATGGATGCTCTCTGAGCTGGGTGGTTTTCGTGCAGGTGTTTCGTGACCCAAGTAGGGAACATCTTCAGTGCTGGACCCACCTATTTCTGTCTGGCACTGTTGATGAGACCTAGTTATGAAAAGTCTGCAAGAAAACCACCAAGCTCCAAGAGCACTGAGGGCCTCGTGGTTGCGCATCCTTTAGACTGCCGCTACTGAAATTGGAAAACCAACTTGAATGCTGTTGGAAAATAGTGACCCCTTCCCAAAATGCCCTTTCAGCCTTTATGCCCCCCTCCTCCCTGTGGTTTGTGTGTGTGTGTGTGTGTGTGTGTGTGTCCTGAAAGGGCCAGGGTGGGGGAAGAAAGTGCTCCTGGTACCTGGCAGGCATCCATCTTCCCCTCAAGGAGCCCCGCACAGATCATCCGCTCTGAGAGGGAAGCGTTGTACAATCCTTCGCAGGTCTCCTGCTCCAGGATCCCGACTGCGGCTCGGTGCAGGTTTTCAGGCTGAGAAGCTGGAAGCCCAAGAGGAAGAAGAGGAGGAGGAGGAGGAGACCTCACAGGGACCAGCCCAAAGCTCCTGAGCCCCACTTCTAACTACCCCAGGCCCAGAGTGGCACAGATTGCTCTTGACCAATGATGGGGTTCAGGGCACAAGGGGAGGGCACTCTTCTACCCACAGAGCACAACCTGAGGCCCGTTCCCGTCTACTGTGAGGAAGTTCTTCCTACCGTTGCCATCCTGGAGGCTGCCCCAGCCTGAAACCAGGCACTTTCTGCCCACGGGGAACTGGTGGGCAGCCAATGGGAGGCAGATGGGCTGGATGTATCTGCCAAAGCGCAGCGGCCTGGCCAGTTTTAGCACTGCCACATCGAAGTCCAGGAGGGCGGGGTTGTAAGAAGGGTGGAGCACCACCTGTTGGATGCCGACCTTCACAGAAGAGCTGTCCGTGGCTGAGAGTGAAGTGCCGCCTGCGAAGGCAGTGAGGTGTCCCACCTTGGTGCTGCCGATACAGGAACAGGAACGGTGCCCGGTTTGCCCAGAGGCAGAGCACACCCTTTGCACACCCTTTCGTGCACCCTGCCCACCCTGGGTTCAGGCTGGATGGAGCAGAGCCCACCTTGGGGGAGGCAGATATGAGGCAGAATGGCGGGCGACTTCCAGGGGTGCCTCGGCCCCAATGGGGCACCCCTCCCTTGGGTTCCCCGCTGCCCCCTCCTGCTGAACAGGCCCCTCCACAAAAGCAGCTGCTCAAACTTCCCCTCAGGGGAGAAACCCAGAGACGAGCCTTTCCGAAGGGCTCCCACTGACCGACACTTACTGGTTGAAACAATGTGCAGCTGAAAGCAGCCATCGCTCCCCAATGATCACGGCCCCACAGAAATGCCGGAGACCCTCCTTCAGGGTGACTTGCCAAGGGACCTCCCCGTGGGATGCTTCCAGGCCACCCACAATTTTCATAGGTTTGGAGAAACCAGGCCGCCGACCGCACTCTGCACGTGAACGGGACGGCTGTGGTGGATGCAGGAGGGGCTGCCCCACCTCCACTCGCTCCCTGCCAGCTGCACGCCAAGGCCCGCCCTACCTGAAGGCTGGGGGCTCGTGGCTGCCGGCCTACTTGAGGCTGGGGAAGCAGAGCTGGGGATGGAGCTAGGGTGCTGTAGGCCGGCTGCGCTTGTGCCCACGGTTGGAGCTGAAGGATGGCGCCCAGGGCCTGGCATGGTGGAAGCTGTGGGGCTCCTTGATGTGGCCGTGGTCTCGATGATCCAGTCCCGGAGCCGGATCACACGAGTGTAAACACCGGGGCGCCTGGCCTCTGCGCAGCCAATGCCCCAGCTGACTATCCCGGTGAGGAAGAAGCGCCCAGAGGGCTCTTGGCAGACCAGGGGCCCCCCGGAGTCCCCCTGCGGAAGGAAAGAGCCAAGGTGAGGCGCCTGTTGTGCAGAGAGGTCTGTCCAAAGCCTGCTGAGCTCTGTGGGGGGGGGCCCTACCTGGCAAGAGTCAACTTTGCCCTCCAGGTAGCCAGCACACATCATCCGGTCAGTGAGCACACTGCCGCCATAGAGGTTTCCGCAGAGAGCCTGGTCCAGCAGCTCCACCGTGGCTTTCTGGAGCAGCTCCGGCTTCACTACTGGGGGAGGGGCAGGATGAACGCTAAGTGGACCCTGGCCTTGCTCTCCGGGTAATTCAGCGGGGTTGGGGGCTGAGGTCAGAGTCTGGGGCGCTGCATTGGGCGGAGTGTGTGCCTGCAGCAGGAGGAGGAGCTTTGGTCTGGCTGGATTGTCCTCCCCCCCCCACTCCTTGCAGTGGACACACCAGGAGCTTTGCAGGGGCATCCAGGGGTTCCTCTGGCCTTGCTCAGGAGTTTGGTGTGGGAGTTTGGTGTGGGAGCAGGAGTCTCCCTTCTGGGCCTGTGGGAACAGCGGTGGCCGCTTGGTGTCCTGAGGTCTCCTCACACATGGAGGCAGAATTGACAGCAACATCCCTTTGAGGCAGGCCAGTCAGCTCCAGCCCTGGCTGGGGGATTCCTTCTGTGCCCCCCCCCACCCTATTTTCCACCTGACCGCTAGGGACCCCGCTTACGGAAGTCTTCCTTGAGATACCCCCAGCCGGAGATGAGGCACTTCCTGCCCGGGCGGAAGCAGTGGGAGGGGGCTGGCAGGCACACGGGCTGGATGTATTTGCCGAAGGGGAGGGGCTCTGCCAGCTCCAGCAGGGCTGCATCGTAGTCGGCGCTCTCCACGTTGTAGGAGGGGTGCTGGAGGATGCGCAGCACCTTGGCCTGTGCCCGGCTGCCCTCGCTGCCACTCAACCGGATGCTGCCGGCCTGGGCCATCCAGGTGCGGGGGTCCTGGAACCTGCGACGGGACAGCTTCAGTCTCCCCTGGCTCTCCTCCCCCCTGGGAGGGAGGGGGAAATGCAAGCCACCCTGTCCCTTGCATGCCTGCCTGGGGTGAGGCCCATCTTTCACTTGTGACCTCACACTCCGTTGTGGTTCTCCTGACTTTTTTGACCTGACCGGGCATCCCAGTCATCCATCCCTTTTTCTTCCTGCTTGGGGCTTCTTCTACCCCCTCCCCCCACCTCCCTCTTCTCTTCTTCTCCCTTCCTTCCTCCCTCCTCCCCATGCTGTAGCTCCACACACACCCCACATGCTTCCACCTGCTCCCCCCCAGCCTGAACGAGGGATGTGCAGCAGAGTGTCCCTACTGCCTCCTTCCATCCTTGAGCTGCTCCTTCCTGGCCACATCCCCCCCCCCCGCCAGCCTCTCCCTCCCCCTTGGCGCCAACCCACTGCAGAGGGTGCCAGCCGTGACAGAGGGCTCCCGGGCTTACTCATTGAAGCAGTGTGCAGCAGAGACCAGCCACCTGGCGGTCAGGATGGCTGCCCCACAGAAGTGTTCATTGCTCTCTCTCAGGCTGACCTGCCACGGGAACTCGCCCAGCAGTGCCTCCGATCCCCCCACGATCCGAGTGGCAGATCGCATGGCTGGCCGGGTCCCACAGTCTGCAAGAGAGCATAAGGGACTGCTGGTGAATGGGGGAGTCCAGGAGAGCCCCCCCCCACACCCACACACCCTTTCAGCCCTGCCCCACCGGAGGCTTTGGCCCCGGTTGGGGGGTTCAGGCCCCCCCCCAAGTTAGGAAAGCCCTAAACCCCTTTGCCCCCCCCCCCCCCCCCCCCGCCAGTTTTATTCCAGGTCTGCAGTTTGAAATTGGTCAGAGGGGAAGATTATTCCTGTCTTTTTCTGACATGGCGAAAGCAATATTTCAGCCATCCGTTTTCCTCCTGCTTGTGGTCACTGCGGCCTGATTGGTCACATTTTGAGTGAGGATTAGCTCTTAAGCAGTGTGCTGCCCAGCCAGTATATGGGAATTGGGATACTTAGTTAGGAATTGGGAGCTGGCCCCTTAAGGGAATGCCTCATGGTAAATGTAGTTAAGGTATCCTGGGAAATGTAGTCCATGTCACGTGGTCACATCTGTAATCCTGATTGGTCACTGAATTGACCCTTGGTGGGTTGGGGGAGGTTTCTTCACTCTTGCTTGGATCTTAGCATTGTGCAGTCTCTCCTTTGGCTCTACTACTATGGGATGAAATAGGGGAAAGATTTCCATCATTTTACACTATTATTTCAACTATGCAAAGAATTGGACATTAGATGCATCTCGACATAACTGTGAGTTACCTTGAGGATACCTAATATAATCCAATAAAAGAAACTTTGTATGGAAGAATTTGTAGAGTTATCTGTCTTTATATTCAACAATTGAATCAAAGGACAGAATAATAAAATAAGTAGATCTGAATTCCTGCAAACCCTCAGTAAAGAGATGGTGGAAATTTGAATCTGGACTCCCAAAAAGTAAAAGCTATTTGAATTCGTGTGATAAAGCAAAGTATATTGAAATCAGGATTCCCAAGTCAAAGCACAATGCTAATCTGAGTCTCCATATAACTAATCAGATTGCCTGAATTCTCTCTCTCTCTCTCTCTCTCTCTCTCTGTGCAATGGAAGTTTTTACAGGGTGTTTGGATGGTTGGGAGGGGCCAAGAATCCCCCATTTCACAAGAGGCAAACAAGTAAAGTCCTCTCTGTTTATCTGCTATCTCAAAGACTCAATTTGCATAACAAGGAGAGAGTGAATAGCTAAGAAGAGCCAGAAATTGCGCCTCTCAGGGGAAACAGTTCTGTTCAAGTTTGAAAACCTGTTTAAATTTGCTGAATCTTTCTTGTGCCCTCTAACACAGAAACTGCATTTCTCCAGCCCAGAGAATCCTAAAAAAATCCTATACGGCCAGTTTACAACCTGGTATCCAAGCAACAAAGTCATAAAAGAGGTCTCTGGCCAGTTTATTGGGGGTCATAAATCACTAGTGGAGAGCTGTCTCCAGAGCAACAGAGCACATCCCCCCCCCTCCAAGTCTGATCCGAGCAGCCTATTTGAACAAAAGAAGCAGTTTGCCTTTCTAGTTAATGACAGAGCTAGAAGATTTTTCCCTTTACTGAAAATTTAAAATTTAAAGGCCAGTCTAAAGAGAAATTATCTAACCACAGCATTTATGCAATGGATTACAGTATTATTACATTTCTTAAATTACTTTGTACAAAAGTATTCTGTATATTTAATGACTTTTCCTTCCAATCTAATCGGCTACCATTCAACTGCCAGCCTATAGCACCATCTGGTGGTCAAGTAGAAATTTCACAGAGAATTCAATTTTTATTTTTTATTTTTGCCACTCAACTCAACTCAAGCTCCATCACTGAAGAGGCCAACCTGTATGCAACACCAGTATCTTCCAGACCTAGCAAGTATCACTACCAGGCCAAAACTGTGCACCGCACCAATGACTTACAGACCTAGCAAGTACCACCGACAGGCCATTTTGCGCTCTGCGACCACGTCTTTCAGACTTGTCAACGCACCCCCTAGCAGCCAACCAGTGTGCTTTGTCAGCATCTCCCACACATTGCAACGCACATCTCTAGTGGTCAACCACTGAAATTTTCTGAATTTTCTCAAATTCAGCAACACGCCTGCAACGCCACCTACATGGTCAAGTACTGAATTTAGCAGAAGTTCCTACGTTCTGCTACTTGCTTGCAGCGCACCCTAGTGGAAATAAAGGGCATTGCCTGGAAAACCTCTAAATTTTCCAAAATTCACCTTTTGATAATTTGAAGCATGGCAACTTCTTCCGCCATGACAGATGTCTCTGATGTACCAGAGGACTCAAACCCTCCACCCACCCTCGATGTAGACATGGAGCCTGGCTCCCAAAACCCAGTTTTACATGTCCAAACCTCCGGAGAAGCAGCAATACCTCAGAAAGCCTATGACCTCAGACAGCATAGGAAGCTCACTGAACCTATGGAGGCATGCTATAGGAGGGATTGGGACAGGCAGTATCACTACTATACAGACTTATGGTTGGAGCTCCTGGATATCTGCAAAGCCCCAACAATCCGCACAGTGCAGAACTACCTAGATGACCTTCTCCTGCGGATGGAAAGACAGCGAAAGTAAACTCAAGTACATCCAGTCAAAGCTGGGTGACCCAAAGCTCCAAGTGCACATTCAAGGCTTCAGTGAGATTAACAAGGAACACAAAGAATGCATTAAGAAAGGCAAAAATGCCCTCCAGGCAGTGCTCAACAACGCGCTACGGCTGGAAGTAGTGTCAAGGGAGTGGGGCACATCCGACATAGCTCCTCAATCACATGTGTCTTCCTTCCACTATTCCAAGTGAGAAATCAAATAAGTTCCTGACCAACCTAGCTGACAACTTTGTTGTCCAAAAGGTAGAGGGTGAAACTAGAGGGACAGCCATACTGGACTTAATTCTTACAGAGAAGAAGGAGGGAGTTGAAACTGCAGGAACCTTGGGTGAGAGTGACCATGTCATACTAGAATTCAACATAACACAAACACAAGCAACAGAACATAATGACACCAGAGTCTTGGATTTTAAAAGTGCTGATTTCAATAAACTCAGAGAGAACTTGGGAAAGATTCCATGGATGAGAATCCTAAAACAACTCAAGAATCTTGGGCAACTCTAAAATGTATGATCCTAGAAGCCCAGACCAGCACAATACCACTGAGAAAGAAAAACAAGAAATCCAAGAAGGAACCAGCATGGCTACACAAAGATCTCTCTGGCAAATTGAAAGAAAAAAAGGACAAGTACAAAAAATGGAAAGAAGGACATACAACTAAGGCAGAATATCAGCAGATAGCCAGAATCTGCAAAGACGAAGTCAGGATAGCAAAAGCTCAGAACAAAGACTTGCAACAAAAGTCAAAGATAATAAAAAAAGTTTCTTCCAACACATAAATAACAAGAAAAAAATCAAGGAAGCAGTCGGTCCACTAAAGAGAGAAGATGGCAAGGAAGTAACAGGCAACAGAGAGAAAGCAGAACTGCTTAACTCATTCTTTGCATCTGTCTTCACACAAAAAAACATAACTGTAAAAAACAGACCAGAAATAAAAGTTAAAATAAGCAAAAAAATAGTAAGAGAACACCTGTCTGATCTTGATGAAAACAAATTACTGGGGCCTGATGGATGACATCCCAGAGTTTTAAAGGAGCTGGCAGAGGTCATCTCAGAACAACTGCACCATATCTTTCAAAAATCCTGGAGCACCGGAGAACTACCAGAGGACTGGAAAAGAGCTGATGTGGTTCCCATCTTCAAAAAAGGGGGGAAAAAACAGACTCAGGAAACTATAGACCAATCAGCCTAACATCAATACCCAGGAAGATACTGGAAAAGATAATAAAAAAACAGATCTGACAACATCTAGAAACAAGTAAAGTAATAACTAGCAGTCAGCACGGGTTTGTTAAAAACAGATCATGCCAAACCAATCTTATTTCATTCTTCAACACAGTGACTAAATTAGTACACCAGCAAAATACTGTGGACATAATATATTTAGATTTCAGCAAGGCATTTGATAAAGTAGACCACAACCTACTTCTTAGTAGGCAAGAAAAAAGTGGAATAGATAGCACCACCACGAGATGGATTCGCAACTGGCTGGCAAACCGTACTCAACGAGTAGTCCTTAATGGGGCTAAGTCTACATGGAGGGAAGTAAGCAGTGAGGTGCCACAAGGTTCCGTCTTAGGCCCAGTACTTTTCAATATCTTCATTAATGACTTAGATGAGGGTATAGAAGGGGAAGTTACCAAATTTGCAGATGATACTAAGCTGGCAGGAATAGCTAACACCCAAGAAGATAGGTTCAAGATCCAGATGGATCTTGACAGACTAGAACTGGGCGATATCTAATAAAATGAAATTCAATATAGAGAAAAGTAAAGTCCTACACTTAGGCAAGAAAAACCAGAAGTACACATATAGACTGGGTGAAACCAGGCTCAATAGCAGTAACTGTGAGAGGGATCTTGGAGTCTTAGAGGACAACCAGCTAAATATGAGCCAGGAGGGTGCAGCAGCAGCCAAAAAAGCTAATGCAATCCTAAATTGTATTAACAGAGGGATACAGTCAAGATCAAGGGAAGTACTAATACCACTCTATAAAGCCTTAGTAAGACCACACCTAGAGTACTGCATCCAGTTTTGGTCACCACATTATAAAAAAGATGTTGAAACTCTAGAAAAAGTACAGAGAAGAGCAACCAGGATGATGAGGGGACTGGAGGCTAAAACATACAACGAACGGTTGCAGAAACTGGGCCTGGCTAGTCTAGGGAAGAGAAGGACCAGGGGAGACATGATAGCGGTCTTCCAATATTTGAGGGGCTGCCCCAGAGAGGAGGAGGGGGGTCAAGCTATTTTCTAAAGCACCTGTAGGCCAGACAAGGAATAATAATGGATGGAAACTGAACAAGGAGAGATTTAAGCTGGAAACAAGGAGAAACTTCCTGACAGAACAATCAACCAATGGAACAGCTTGCCCTCGGAAGTTGTGGGAGCACCATCAGTTGACTTTCAAGAAGAGATTGGACTGCCATTTGTCAGAAATGGTGTAGGGTCTCCTGCTTATACAGGGGTGGAGTTGGACTAGATGACCTACAAGGTCCCTTCCAATTCTGATTTTCTGTATCTAAGAAAGCCACCTCCCTCCATCCCAAACTGGCTAGATCTCAAGCAGGTTCCAGCATCTTGTGGCAAATCTCTGTTGCTGGCTCTCACTATCTCCCTTCACAGTGTCGCATTTAAGGCCTCCAAAGCAGCAAGTTACGCTGACCGAGCTTCAGAAGCTGATATAGAAGTGGCGGTAGCAGAAGCAGATTTGCGTATCACGACGGAGGTGACACGGCAGAAAGCAGAAATGGCCAACCAACAGGCAGAAATGGCCAAAGCTCAGGCCAACCAACAGGCAGAAATGGCCAAAACTCAGGGCCAAGTGGAGTTGCTTGAACGACAAAGAGAGACAGCAGCAAAAACAGCGCGGGCTGCAGCATTGCGGAAGGTGGCCGACAACGCCTCCTTCAACTTCGACCTTGAAGAGTTAGGAGAAGATAGCCCAGACACACAGGTCAAGGCCTACATGGATGAGTAGCACTCACTATGAAACAAGCAGGTGGAACTGGCACGGTTAGTTGGCAGTCTCCCAGAACCAAGGGAGAGAAGGAGAAACTACAGACTTTACACGCCAGTCAGAAAACTGACGTCGTAAGACCTAAGACTCGAGACTCCCTTTCCAAAGGCAGCAGACCTACCCCAATGTCCCAAGACCTGCTGGCCAAGCAACTTTCCCTTCCCCAAAATATCAAACCTAACCCTACACCTCCAGTCCTAGAGAGCGAGCAAATTAACCCACCAGTTGCTATGCAGATTTCTCAACAGAGAGACATATTTCAAGCGACAACTGCCACATTCAATCCACAGGCAGTGGCATTCTTGCCACAACCTCAGCACTACTCGAGTTCACGGGTAGATAACCACGGCTGGCCTACACAGCAACGTGAAGCTCCACCATCATCTATGGAATGGCAGAACAACCTTCTCAGTAAGTACTGGGAGGAAGACTACGACCCATCGTCGGGATACAACCCAGACCTACTCTACGAGAATCCAAGGGGAGAACCCTCTGTTTCAATGCCCCTCACACACAGCCCTTACTCCATCTCAGCAGACGTTCCAGCATACTGGAGAGAGTTGGCACTAAGGAGAGGAAAGCTGGATTTGGCCGCCAACGGCGTATACAAATTCTCTGACGAGCCAGGCAGAGGATATCTGCTATGGAAGAGAATTTTCCTGCGCAACATTCAGGCAGCACGCCTGAAGCCCGATGAAGTACTCGTCCACTTGATAGCATGGCTGGGGCCACGGTCTGCCAGAGTAGCGAAGGAACTTTATGCATCCCACTTAGACGACCTAGACACTGCCCTTCGGTTGACGTGGAAAAGACTTGATGAAGAGTATGGCTCTCCCACAGAGGTGGAATCATCGCTCTTGGATCACCTCAACAGCTTCCCTAAAATTCCTATTGATAAGCCTCATTAGCTCAGGGACCTCTCTAATATACTTATACAGCTGAAAGCGGCACAACGGGATCCCGAGGTACCGGGACTCGCTTGTCTTGACCACTTCAAAATGCAAAGCACAATCATTAGAAAACCGCAGGTGCTAATTGAACAGTGGATCCAGTTTTCTGAGGCCTTCATGGCCAAGGGTCGCCACAAAGGTACTCCCTTTACCCTTCTCAAAGAATTGGTGGCCCACAGGCAACATCGTGCAACGACCCCCGGACCTGCAGACTCAGAGATGTTAGTCCTCCAACTAAAAAAGATCCATCAGCAACTATGTGCCGTCCACAGGCCCTACGCACACTGCAATGGCACAACCCTTGGCTGTCCATAAGACCCAGGTCGACTCCTCAACCATAAAGAGTTTGGCCGCTAACTCGTCGGCCCCAACCCAATCGAAGCCTCCGACAACAAAGAGCGTCCAGTTTTGTCCAATACACAACGCTCCACACCCGCTGAACAGGTGTCACTCATTTGCACAGAAACCTCTGCGCCTAAGGAAGTCCTTGTTAAGGGAATACAGATTCTGCTTCAAGTGTTGCGAGTCCAAACACTCGACCAAATACTACACAGCCAGTGCAATGTCACATATGCAAAAGTGACATGCACCCAGCCGCTCTGCATCCAGACTCCGATACACCACAGCGGACAATTCCTAACCCTCCTTTGAACAAGGTTCCTCAGCAGGCTGCCAAAATGCAACCAAAACAGTGCCAACTGCACGGCAGTGTGCGCCGACTCACTACACCCTTGTTCGTGTCATCCGATCTGTCTAGCCAACATGTACCCTGACGGATGCCCGGAAGAAGCCGTGAAGATGTACATGATAGTGCATACTCAAAGCACCTGCTCCCTGGCCAGATCCGCATTCTTCGACCTCTTCGATGTCCAACAGGACAAAGTTTACTTCATGATATCAATGTGCACCGTACCACAAAGTACAGCGGGGAGAAGAGCTACTGGACTCTGTATAGAGTCATTAGATGGAAGTTCCCGGTTCTCACTGCCGCCTGTGTTAGAATGGGATGGGATACCAAATGACCACAGCCAGATCGCAACACCCGAGGTAGCAAGCAGCATTCCTCACCTGAAGCACCTGGCTCATCACTTTCCTGCTCTAGATCCAGAAGCAGAAATTCTACTATTGCTGGGAGTTGATGCCCCTTATGCCTTCAAAGGACAGAATAAGCAGTTATGGGATTAAAAATTTACCACCACTGGTTCTGTGGGCCTGGCTAAGTGGTCATGTGACTTGGTGGGCAGCACCTTGCTGTGAGTGACATCGAGATGGTCACGCCCAGTCATATGATCGATGCTGCAAGTCAGGGCTATTGCCTATGTATGTACCTTTTCTCCCCACCCCCTGCCCTTGGGCTGACAAAATGAGGAGGAGGAGGAGAAGGCCTTGCTGAACTTTTCTGCCTCCTGCTTCGTGGGCACACAAGTAGGACCAACAGCCAACCACTAGCTGTTTCTTACCTTCCCTGGGGTGGTGCCCAACGTGCAATTCCCCCCCCCCATACTACCCCCTCTTACAATACTAGACAACACAGTATCAACAGTAGAGACCTTCAATTTTCTAGGTTCTGTCATATTCCAAGACCTAAAATGGACACTGTTAGGGATAACATTGTTTACCCTAACTGGTTTGGGTAAAAATAATAAATAAGGTATCATGCTTTGTTAGTTAAAGTGTGTATAACTTTAACTGCAAGAATGTAATTAAGGGTGTGGTTGTAAAAGCACTATATAAGAAGCGAGGCAATTGCAGCTCGCTCTCTCTGGCTTACTGATCCCTAATTACTGGATGGATTGATGACTGCGTTCTTGCTGGAACGGGGAGAGAAGAAGGAGTGTTGATATTTCTCAACGGAGAGAAGATAAAGATTGGACTGATTTATTGTAAGTGAACTGACATTGGCTATTCAACACGGACTTTGCAAATAGAGTATCCCTGACAAGATTTGACTGAAATTGATATATAACTAATGGACCGTTTATTTTGACTATGCTATAATTCTTAAATGGAATAAACTATATTTTTGATAGCACAAGTGTATCTGTATTTTTACTGCGTGTTAACTAGAAAACTTATCTCACACATTTACCTGTCTTCCTATCTGACTTCGCTGCACATTCTGTTTAGTTTGTTTTCCTTAACACCCGTTGGGGAATCCAGGCTTAACAGACACCTAACATCAAAAACATCATCAAAAAAGCACAACAAAGAATGTTCTTTCTGTGCCAACTCAGGGAGCTCAAACTGCCCAAGGAGCTGCTGATCCAGTTCTACAGAGGAATTATTGAGTCTATCATCTGCACCTCTATAACTGTCTGGTTTGGTTCTGCAACACAACAAGACAGACACAGACTTCAGAGGATAATTAGGACTGCAGAAAAAACAATGGCTACCAACCTGCCTTCCATGGAGGACCTGTATCCTGCACCCTGAGTCAAAAAGAGGGCTGTGAAAATATTTACAGACCCCTCACATCCCGGACAGAAACTGTTTCAACTCCTTCCCTCAAAACGACGCTATAGAGCACTGCACAGCAGAAGAACTAGACACAAGGAGAGTTTTTCCCCAAAAGCCATCATTCTGCTAAACAATTCCCTCAAAACTGCTCAACTATTTGCAAAGTCTGCATTACTATCACTATTAATCTTCCCATCACTCCTTATCACCCATCCCCTCCCACTTGTGACTGTATGGCTGTAACTTTGTGGCTTGTGTGCTTATAATTTATATTGACCGTTTCCTAGTATGATTTGATTGCTTATTGTGCCCTATGACTATCATTAAGTGTTGGACCTGATGATTCTTGACGAACGTCTCTTTTCTTTTACGTACACTGAGAGCATTTGCACCAAGACAAATTCCTTGTGTGTCCAGCCACACCTGGTCAATACAGAGATTCTATTTGTGCATATGCACAGAAAACAGCAAGACTGACCTTAGCTCGGCTGAGGCGCGGCAATCGGCTCTGCCACGCAAATCAGCTGAGCTAAAGGAACAACACAAGATGGGAGTGGTAGGAGTGGGGGCGGGCGGGCGGGCGGGGCCACTTAAAATTTTCCCTAGAGGTTCTCCTGAACCGCTCCAAATCCCCTGAATACCGTCCCTCTCTTTAGGCTCGTGCACAAGGAGCCCCCCCCCCCCCCCCCCCCCCCCCCCCCCCCTGTTCCCCCGCGCGGGGGCGCCCCTCCCCCCCCCCCCCCCCCCCCCCCCCCGGAAAAGTAGCCTCTCTGGAGATGCTGCCCTGCCTCCCACGGAGGTCAATCATCTTTGCACTCTGGGTCCTGCGCTCTGTGGGGTTCAGCCCTCCCTGGAGGGAGGCACCCCCAGTCTGTGCCCGTCCTCCTCTGAGGGAGATCCGGGGCAGCCTGGAGAATCCCCAGCTTTGCAGAGGTAGTGAGGCCAGCAGCCCCAGCGGTGAGAGACTCACCACATCCGGCCTCATCAGAGCCATCTCGGCAGTCTTTCCAGCCGTTGCACTGCACGCTTCCTGGGGCTACACACTGGCCATTGTGGCAGGCAAAGGCCTCCCCCGGACACCTTCCTGTGAACACAACAGGGGCAGAATTGGCTCCCCTCGGCACAGACGCTGGGGGTGGGGGAAATGCAGTGGGGGAGTCACTGGACATCATTGGGGGGTCCAGCCAGGGTGCTCAGCCCCTCCTTTAATTGAGGTGGGAAATCTCTGCCCTCAACAGCCTGGGCTTTTGGGAGAGCCGTTTGGCTGCCCTTTTCCACCCCCTTGCTTCTGCCCTCAAAGGACTAGGCCGAAGGCCAAACGGGCCCCAGTCCCCAATGCTGCCCGTGGGGCTGGGGGCCCCAAAACCAGGATCCCAGACTGGTTCCACAGTCGACCAGCCTACCTGACTTGAGCTCTGGGCTCGAGAAGGTGGGGTCCTGTGGACCTGCTGGAAAGTGGGGGGAATCAGAGTGTGGGCACAGGTCAGCAGCACGGAAGGGACTGAGCTAATTAGGAGCACACACCACCCCAGTCAGCCCTGGGCCAAAGGGCCAGAAAGAATGCAGGGATACCCAGGAGGGAGGCAGCCGAGATGGTACCGTAGGTGGGCACCCTGATGCCCACAGCTGCTGCCAGTCCCCGCCTCAGGATATCCTCTTCCATGCCAGGGCTGGGCGGCGGTGGAGAGAAGCCGAGGTGGAAGTGGACAATGAGGCTGGCATTGCCCTCCCTGCCAAGCAGAAGCAAGAAGTCCTTACCTTCTCTTTCTGGCAGGAGAGCCTCCCCCCCAGGCCAGCCTTCCTGCCCCTGCCCACCTGTATTGCACGACGGTACACCTGGAGCAGCTGCCGTCCAGGGGCGAGTTCTGAAAGCTGCTTTTGAACTGAACGGCCAGACAGGAGAACAAGAGAGCAGGTTGGCTTTGCTGCTGTGCCCATCAGAGCCACAATCAAGCAGGGAGTCCCAGTTTCAGAGCAGCCTCTTTGCCCCAAGAAAAGATCCAGACCATTTGCCCCCTCAAGCAATTAGCCAAAGGGGTGCCTAGCCTGGGGCTTAGAGGAGCCATTGCAAACCCCAAGCTAGCTGGCAGGATGCATCCCCTCAGCCCTCCCCTCCCTTCTCCAGCCCCTTCCCTTCGGCTTTCCACCAGGGTTGGACAGCCGGGAACCAGGGGCCTCACCTGGGAACAGTTCTGCCAGCCTTGGACGGTCTGACCAGTCTTGTGCACAGCCACCCTTCCCGGAGCGGGTGGGAGCTGCACTCCCGGGGAACGCTGAATGGACGGCCCTTCCCAGTGGCTCACCCACAGCTCACCCTCTTGGGGAGGGGGCATGGGGTCCTTACCAGCTGCTCCAGAACAGGGGTCAGCAGGCGGGAATAGCCAGAACTGGGCTGCTGCAAACTGCTCCGGTAGGGGATCCCTCGCAGCTCCGCCCTGTGCTCGAAGTGGGTTTCTCGCTTCCCCAGGAGATCTGCCGCAGGAGAGAGCCATCGATGCCAAGAGCCCCTCTGAGCCCTGCCTGGTACCTGGCCCACCCAACCCCTGACAGCTGACCCAGCTGCTTAGCTGCCAGGGCCCTGCCACCCTTTGGGGCTGCCTGCGATCTTAGCCAGGGGAGAGCCAGTGCTGAAAGGATGGGCAGGCCAGCTGCCAGGCTCCTCGTGGCACGGATGCCACAGAAGGGTCCTGGCACAAGGTGAGCAACGAATTTAGACTCTCCTCGTCTAGCCAAGAGGTTCCCTAGCCCTGCCCTTTGCTTTGCCATCCTCCGAAGACACACATCCCCCCCCGCCCCGTCACCTTTGCAAGTGTCCTCCACCCCCCCCACCGCCCCGCTCCCGTTTCCCCCAAGGCAAGTGATGCGGTTGCTCCCTGCCTCCTTTCCCAGAGGGTGCCAGGCCCACCAGATCCCTCTCCTTAAGCATGTTCAGCTGGCAGGTCCCAGGAAGTGCACCTTCTCCATTTCACTAGCTCTGCCCCGCAAGTGCTGCTGGTCTAGGGGGGAAAGGCTCAGTCCAGGTACGGCAAGGGATGCTTGGCGCTGCTCGGTTGGGCGGGGGAGGACAAGAAAGGGGGGAGGTTCCTGGTCCCACCACCCAAGGGCTCTTTCTCTTTCAGTCCAATGGTGCACCATACCTTTTGTGGGGGGCTTTAAGCTCCATTGGGGACCCCAGGGTGACCCCCAAGCCCATTTCAAAGCCACTCACACACAAGGATGCCCACACATAGGGCTGCTGCGGTGCTGGTGAGGACGGTGGCCAAGGCAGTCCGGCTGCAGGTTCCACCGCCAGCCACGGGCCGTGCTGTCTGTCGCTCCAGGGCCGGCCTTGAGGTGATGCCTGGTGGTCCCATGGCTGGATGGACCTGGATATGGAGAGAAAGAGCAGGACACGTCCCTGCTCTCTGCTTCCTGGGTCTGGAGCCCTGAGGACCAGCACGGCCCCCCACAAAGGGCTGTTGAGGCACAGGAGGCCCACCTCTCACGTGGCAGAACTACAGATGCTTCCCCTGCCAGCAAGAACCTCCCTGGCACAACTAGGAAGCCTCAAGAGAGAGGCAGGCAGGCAGACCAAGAGACACACCTCGTGGCCCAAATTACCTGAGGGGATTACATGGCGTCCACCTGAGACAGCTCCGAAGGCCTCCGTTGGCCTCTGCAACCCTTTGAATGGAGAAGCAGGTCCCAGAGCCGGTTTGCCGCGCAAATGGCTGGTTATTCATTTATTGTTTATTTTTTCAGTCCCCAGCTTTGCAAAGCCCCATTGAGGAGGTTTATAAGCCCAGTGACGACGAGAGCCAGTCTGGTGTAGCGTTAAGGCTAGAAACCAGGAGACTGTGAGTTCTAGTCCTGCCTTAAGACCTGGGCCAGCCATTCTCTTTCAGCCCTAGGAAGGAGACAATGGCAAAAACCTTGCCAGGAAAACTGCGGGGACTAGTGCGGGAAGTTGCCAGGAGTTCAAAAGGTGCACGCATACACACTCACGGAACAAAAACCCAATAACTACCTAGAAATAAGATTGGCCACCCTGCTCTTTGTCCCCAGAGGGGCCCCAGGGTGGGGCCTTCCCCACCATAGAGGGCTGGCCTCCGGGGCTTCCCTCTGCCGTGCTCAGCCAAGCCTTTGTCAGGGGGAGCTGGCAGCTGAGGAAGGGCAGGGGCTGATTACGGATGCCAATCTGCCAGGTAAGAATTGCTGTGGTGCACCTGGGCCGGGAAGGAAGCTCCCCTCACCCCCCACCCTGGGGCTGGTTCACTTCCTGACTCTGCTGGCAGCTGTTCTCCCGCCAGGGGAGCCGAGGTGCCTCTCCACGGGGGGGGGGGGGAGTCCTGCAGCGCACTAGCCAAGGCTTGGCAGAGGCACCTTCTCTTCCTGCCACATAAACAACCTTTGAGGGCTGCTAAGGCCGGGGGGGGGGGAGAGGAGAGGCCACGAGAAATTCGATGCAGCAGGTGGCTCCTCCCTGCCCCCCACTGGAGGGGGGGGTTGTCTGTGAGGCAGTGGGAAAGGGCCGCCTGCCTTTGTGTGCCTCCGAAGGAGAGGGGGTTGCTGCCTGGCAGGGGCATCCCTGCCCATTGGTGAAAGGGAGGCAGTCCAGACAGCAGACAATGCCACGTTTGATGGGGGCCTCTCCGTCCCCCTGGCCAGCTTGCATGTCAATGAGCCGCCCGGGGACAGTGCGGAGCAGGTGAGGCAATTTGGAGCCAAAATCCTCAGAGCCGCAACCTGGCCTCCTCCTCCTCTCCTGCCCAGAGGCAGATCCTGGGCAGGCTCACATCCCAAAAGAGGGTGAGCGTGGGGACGGACCAAATTAGGTTCATTTGCCTCCAACCTTGGTTATCGCAACCACTTTGTGTTCTCTTCCATGTCTCCATTCCCCACCCCTCTTAGTGTTTTCCCACAGGTGCAGGATCCGTTCCCGCTCCCAGTCAATTGAGTGCTGACCCATCATTCGGGCTTGGTGCTAGAGCAGAGAGAGCCGGACTGGCCCAGAGTGTCTTAGCTGCTCTGATGCCAAGGTGGGACTAGAACTCACTGCCTCCTGGTTTAGCCCGGGGCCTTAACCATTAGACCAGACTGGATCTCTTTGGTCATTTTTGTCTCCTTAAACCTCGGGCTGGAAGAGATCACGGGCTTTCAAGAGGAGGAAGGGGAACATGTTCAGCTGGGAAGTGCAGGAGAGGGGGGGCCAGGCCAGGGCTGCTCCTCCCCCTGTGGCAGGCTCAGAAAGACGGGGGGGGGGGGATTTCCGATCAGCTCCCATTACTAAATGGGGGAGGGGCAGAGAAGGACCCCAGGCACAGCCCACCTCCCTCCCACCCGCCCTTTTGGGAAGTGGGATGATCCTACTCCAAGTTAGTTCCATGCTTTTGACCAGGAACTCTCCCCCCCCCACTCCCAATCTAGCTGGGGATGGGTTAGACATTCAGTTCATGGCCCAAGCTGCCTTGGGGACCCGCAGCTGAGGGCCCCTCCGGGCTCTGTGGTCCCTTCTCTGGGCATTGCCAGACCTGCCGCTCATGGCTGCCAGCCGGCATCCCTTCTCTGAACACACGTGTCTCCCCCCCCACCCCCGCTTATCACTTTGCATGGTCTGGACCCCCCAGCATTCTCTTGGCTAGTTTCCCCTCGGTTGCCCAGACTATGCACCGAGGGGCCCAACCCTCCCTTGGTTGCCCCAGGCCCTGCCTTAGCTCTGGGCAGGGCTGCCCCCCTCGCACCCAGGCTGGACTCACCTCCTGAGCAGCCACTCCTATGCGAGACAACTCTGGTGCCCGACTGCTCTCACCCTCCATCCCCTCTCTGGCTCTCAGGTTGGTGGGGTGGGGTGGGTGGGTGGGAGGAAATCCCTTAAAGGAACATGAGCCGCCTGGAACTACCAGGACAAGGTGGAGCTAAGTCAGATCCGTGACCGGGGTTCTAAAAGGGGGGGCAAGCTTGGTCTGCCCTCTTTCTTGCTTGTCCATAGAGATGGCACCCACTCCCCCTCACGAAGGAACAGGTTATCTAATTATAGGATAATGTATTGTTATTGATAAATGGATGAGTTAGATAGACGAAGAAAATGAATTTGAAATATATTATTGAAACTCAATAATTATAAAGCTAAGGATAATAGAATGAGTGATATATACAATATAAAATGCTGATTAGAATGACACACTGTGGAACAGAAAGGTTTTACATGTTTGTTTTTTTGTTGTTATAAAAATAAAAAACTTATAAAAAAAGAGATGGCCATGGTTGTTGCTTTTTTGAAAAGGCAGCTGGATGTTCTTGAATTTTTTTTTTTTTTTTGCTTCTCATCAGTTGAAGAAGCTTCTTGGATGAGAAGAGAAACATTTTCAAAGAAAAAAAAATCAACAACATCCAGGTGTCTTTCTTGTTTCTTTATACACTTGTCCCATTTACGTGGTCTCTGCACTGTACAGCCCGCACTAGAGCATTCTAAAAAAACAGTGAAAACTTAATTGAAGTCAATGCTTGTTAGGAGCAAGAATCAAAAATATCAAACCAAAATTGAAAGGGCAAGAATGTTGGTTAGATTAGGATACGTAGTTACCTTTAGGGGAGATACTTGCTTAATTGAAAAAGAAGGTAAGAAAATTACTGCATCTTTAAGAGGTGAATTGTATGTGTTAAATGATAATGGTTTAGAGGTGGCTAACATGGTTTATGATAATAAGAAACCTCATGATGAATGTATTCACTTGTTACACCGACGGCTAGGTCATTTAAATTTTAAAATGATTAAGAGAACTGTTCAACTATCTAAAGGAATAAGTTTGAAACCTTGTAATAAGTATTTGCAATGTTCTGCTTGCAATCAAAGCAAAAGCAAAGTCATACCGGCAAATAGAGTTGATGGATTTACTACCAAAGAGCCTTTAGAGGTAGTATTTGCCGATATAATAGGTCCTAAAAAACCAAGTGTAGGTGGTGCTCGATACATATTAAGCATAATGGACCACTATTCTAGGTATGGTTTCTGTTTTCTAATGAAGAGAAAAACTGAAACATATCTAAATTTCTTTAATTGGTTAAAATTTGCGAGAGGAAAACTAAAAAGAAATTAGTAACTCTTATAACAGATAATGGTGCAGAATTTACAAATAATAAATTCCAGAGTAGACTTAGGATGGCAGGTATTCAACATAAAAAGTCTGCACCATATAGGCCTCAACATAATGCCTTTATAGAGAGACGAGGCCAAACACTGCAATCAATGGGACGGACTATGTTGTCTGATTCAGGATTATCTGACAATTTGTGGGGAGAAGCTATAATGTGTGGTAATCACATATTAAATAATGTTGTTAATTCAACAACAGGTGAATTACCATTCACACTGTGGCATGGTAGGAAACCTGATTTAAGTTACATTCACACATTTGGTGCACCAGCATGGGTGCATATCCCTACACAACTCAGAAACAAAGGACAGCATAGAGCTAAAAGATTATTTTTTGTTGGATATCAATCAAACCATAGATCTTATAGATTCTGGGAACAAGGTACATCTAGAGTATACTGCAGTGCTAGTGCACAATTTCTAGAACATATAGGATGGAATAGATTAGAGCAAGATTCAGATAATTATGTAATTATAGAACCCTACAAGAAGCAGAAAGAAAAGACTAGTTATAAGAAAAGTCCAATTAAAGAAGAAGTCCACGAAGAGCAAATAGAACCAGAACAAGAGGAAATAATTGATCAAGAAGAGATAGATAATCAAGAACAGGAAATAAAGGAAAGTCCACCTGTAAGTCCTGTAATACTCCCAAAACAAAACAAAAAAGCAGATTACCCATATCAATAAGGAAACTTCAATCCAAAAAGAGATCACTCTGGCGGAAAAACAAATCTGGTCACGTTGCCAATTTCAAAAACCGATACAAAAATTTATGCCACCAGATAAAGACCGAATGCACCAATTATCACATTAAACAAGAGGAAAACCTTCTAAGCACCAATTCCACCCGCGCTTTTTACAATTTTGTAAACAACAAACTAAAAGACTCAAGGTCCATCCCTCCCTTGATAGGACCTGATGGTAAAGACTGCAACGACGACACCATTAAAGCCAACATCTTTAACACATTCTTCGGCTCAGTATTTGTAAACAGCAATGGATCATGCCCAGTATTTCCTAGCCGTACCACAGATAACAACAATGATCTAATACATATCGATTTCACAGAAGACAATGTTGAAAAAGCACTACGCAACCTAAAACCATCTCTATCTATTGGACCGGATGGAATATGTGCCTACTTCTTAAGAAAGCTATCCACTGCCATAGCCAAACCTCTAAGCATAATCTTTGAAAAATCTTTCAGAACCAGCTCCTTGCCTAACCTATGGTCACAAGCCACAGTCATCCCCATCTTCAAAAAGGGAGACCCAAGCCTAGTTGAAAACTACAGGCCAATCTCCTTATGCTGCGTCACCTGTAAAGTCATGGAATCAATTATTAACCAATCCATCATCCCTCACTTAGAGACAAATAACCTACTCTCCAATAAACAATTTGGTTTCAGAAAAAAACTATCCTGTAATCTGCAACTCTTACACTGCAAAAACATATGGACGACACAACTCGACCAGGGCAAAGCAATAGACGCAATCTACATAGACTTCTGTAAAGCCTTTGATTCAGTGGTACACGACAAACTACTCCTAAAAATAAAATCCTATGGTATCTCTGGACAACTGAATAACTGGATAGAAGCATTCCTGTCAAACAGACAACAAATGGTCAAAATTGGGAGCGTACTATCAAATCCAGTACCTGTCAATAGTGGTGTTCCCCAAGGCAGTGTTCTAGGACCAACTCTCTTCATACTCTACATAAACGACCTCTGTGATCATATTAAGAGCAATTGCGTTCTCTTCACTGATGATGTAAAGCTGTTCAATACCACAGACAATACTGCTACCCTACAAAAAGATCTTGACTATGTATCAGAGTGGTCAAACAAATGGCAACTTCAAATCTCAACAAATAAATGCTCTGTCTTACATATTGGCAAAAAAAATCAGAAAATAAAATACAAGCTGAATAGTCAAGATCTTGTTGATGACTCAAGCTCTGTAAAGGACCTTGGAATACTCACCTCTAATGATCTAAGTGCTAGAGCCCACTGCAACTACATAGCCAAAAAGGCATTAAGAGTTGTTAACCTAATCCTACGTAGCTTTTTCTCTGGTAATATCACACTACTAACCAGAGCATACAAAACATTTGCTAGACCAATACTCGAATACAGTTCATCAGTCTGGAACCCACACTACGTATCTGATATTAGCACAATTGAGAAAGTCCAGAAATTTTTCACAAGAAGAGTTCTCCACTCCTCTACTCGTTGTAGAATACCTTATGCCACCAGACTTGAAATTCTAGAACTTGAAAACCTTGAATTACGCCGTCTTCGGTCTGACTTAAGCATGGTATATAAAATCATACATTGCAATGTCCTACCTGTCAATGAATACTTCAGCTTCAACCATAACAACACAAGAGCACACAATAGATACAAACTCAAAGTAAACCGCACCAAACTTGATTGCAGGAAATACGACTTCAGCAATAGAGTGGTCAATGTCTGGAATACTCTACCCGACTCTGTAGTTTCTTCCCCAAACCCCAAAAACTTTAACCTTAGACTGTCTACTATTGACCTCACCCCTTTCCTAAGAGGCCTGTAGGGGGCGTGCATAAGCGCACCAACGTGCCTACCGTCCCTGTCCTATTGTTTCTCTTATTCTTTTATTTTTCTTATATGTACCCATTTCATGTATTCACAACTATGTATACATTTATACTTATTATCTTGTAAACAATTGTCAAATCAAATAAATAAATAAATAAAATAAAATAAATAAATACCTAGACACACAACACGTGTAACCAGACCACCTGAAAGGTATCAGGCAAGTATAGTTTGCCAAGTAAATAAAGTTCCTACTAGTATAGATGAACTTACTGTATATACTCGAGTATAAGCCTAGTTTTTCAGCCCATTTTTTGTGCTGAAAAAATCCCCCTCGGCTTATACTCGAGTCAGATTCCCCTCTGGAAAAAAAATGGTGTGGAGTCGCGGCCTCCGGCGGCAGCGACTCCCAACAGCCCCAGCCGGGAAGGGAAAGGCAAAAAGCGCTTTGCCTTTCCCTTCCCGAGGCGGCGGGACTGGGGCCGCGCCGGCGGTAGTGACTCCTGACTCAGGGGGCCTCCGAGGGAGGGGAAGAGAGTGACTCCTGCCTCCCGCTGTCATCATCATCTTCTTCTTTTGGGTTAGTGAATCAATTAAACCTTTCATGATAGTGAGATCGTTTCCCAATTTAATTATTTTTATTTTTGAAATTTACCAGTAGCTGCTGCATTTCCCACCCTCGGCTTATACTCGAGTCAATAAGTTTTCCCAGTTTTTTTGTGTAAAATTAGGTGCCTCGGCTTATATTCGGGTCGACTTATACTCAAGTATATACGGTAGGATGTATCCTGTAAAGGATCAGGAGAATTGGCAAAAGGCAATGGAAAAAGAGTTAAATTTGTTAAAGGAAATGAAAGTATATGAAGATACCAAATTACCTCCAGGAGAAAAATCCATTGGGTGCAAATGGATATTCAAAGTAAAGACTGGAAATAATGGGACAGTTACTTATAAGGCTAGGTTAGTAGCTCAAGGATTTAATCAAAATGCATTTGATTATGATGAGGTATTTGCACCAAATTTAAAGGCTACAACTTTAAGAGCAGCTTTAGTGTGGGCAGCTAAGAAGAATTATATCGTTAACCATTTAGACGTAGAAACTGCCTATCTACATGCACCATTGCAGCATACAATATATTTGAAAAAACCAGTTGGTATAAATGATAATAAAGCAGATAGCAATGATTGTTGGAAACTCAAAAAGAGTCTATATGGATTGAAACAATCTGGCTATGAATGGAACCAATATATTGTGAAAGAATTAAACAATATAGGGTTTAAATCTGGTTTAGCAGATCCATGTATGTTTAAAAGAGAAAATAATGGAACGGTGTCATTATTGTTATTATTTACAGATGATATTGCTTTGATTACTAATACCAATAATGAAGCTACTGAGATTATTTCATTATTAGCCAAAAAGATAAAATTAAAGCATTTAGGTGAAATGAAAAAGTATCTAGGATTGACAATTAACAAAACCAAAAATGGATTTAAAATATCTCAAGATAAAATTTGCCAATTAATTAAATTGTATAAAATGGAACTTTGTAAGCCGGCAAAGACTCCAATGAGTCAGGAAGTTTGCCAAACTGATGCTCAAAGTCCCAAATTCGATAAGACCATATATCAATCTTTGATTGGTAGCTTATCATATATAAGCAATTGGTCAAGGCCAGATATTGCTTATAGTGTTAATCAGCTGGCACGATTTAATAATGATCCACATCAATGTCATTGGGAAGCATTAAAGAGAATTTTAAGACATCTTAAAGGAACAATGCACCATGCATTGTATCTAGAGCCAAAAGGTGATTTGATTCTTAGTGCCTATGCAGATGCAAGTTTTGCAACTGACATAAACACTAGAAAATCAACATCTGGGATGGCTATATTATTTGGTAAGACACTAATAGGGTGGAGGTCAATCAGACAACAGCATATCAGCTTGTCCACGATGGAAGCAGAATTTTCATGTCTGTCATTACTATGCACTGACTTAATTCTGTACAAACAGTTATTATTAGACATGGGTATAACTGTTAAAGATTCCATTATTGTGTACGAGGACAACCAGGCAGCCATACAGTTAGCTACTAATATTGCTGTAAAGACTAGATCAAAGCATACTAATTTAAGATACTTAAATGTTAGAGAATCTGTGAAAAATGGTCTAATTAAACTAGAGTACTGCATGACGGAAGAAAACATTGCAGACCAGTTTACAAAAGCTCAAGGTGTAGTAAAATTTAGAGTTGTAACAATTATGATTTAAAGGTGTAAATGGTTATATTATTATTATATTATTATTATTACCCAAAAGGGGAGAATGTTAGGGATAACATTGTTTACCCTAACTGGTTTGGGTAAAAAATAATAAATAAGTTATCATAGTTTGTTGGTTAAAGTGTGTGTAACTTTAACTACAAGAATGTAATTAAGGGTGTGGTTGTAAAAGCACCATAAAAGAAGCAAGTCAATTGCAGCTCTCTCTCTCTGGCTTAATGATCCCTAATTACTGGATGGATTGATGACTGCGATTTTCCTTACTGGAACGGAGGAGAGAAAGGAGTGTTGATTTCTCAACGGGAGAGAAAAGATAATACGGACTGATTTATTGTAAGTGAACTGACATTGGCTATTCAACACGGACTTTGCAAATTGAGTATCCCCGACTGGACTGACTGAAATGATACATGACTAATGGACCGTTTATTTTGACTATGCTATAATTCCTAATGGAATAAACTATATTTTTGATAGCACAAGCGTATCTGTATTTTTTTACTGCGTGTTAACTAAAATACAAACTTATCTCACACATTTACCTGTCTGCCTATCTGACTACGCTGCACATTCTGTTTAGTTTGTTTTCCTTAACACCCGTTGGGGAATCCAGGCTTAACACCCCCCGAGGACCCTCCCCTGTCTACCTAGTGAGTTTCCTAATGCCCAGAGGCTGCCAGGCCATCCAGGTCTTGGGCTGGGCATGCGGTAGCAGAAGGCCTGTGCCATGGCAGGGTCTCCCAAGTCCCACCAGGGCAGCCCTGCTTCCTAAAGGGACCTGTCCGTCCTCGTGGGGGGTGGGCCGAATTAATCAGGGACTGATGGACCTGCAGGTAAGTCAGCCCCATGCCCCAAAAGATTGGGCTGGTGACAAACAGCAACCTTGACCTACACTGAGAGGAGTCTCAGTCAGAATTTAAAGGATATTGCTGGTCATAACCTCATCGATTTAACCGACACCCCTTTCCCCATTGGCCCGATCACCAATTATAATAATATAAAAGGCTGTGGGATTTACAGTGCAGAAAGCAACTTTTCATACAGCACGGAGGCAGTTTGTACTAGCTCAAAACATGTGAATGAGCATCTCCTTGACTCTGCCACAGAGGAGGAGGAGGAAGGGGAGGAGGGGGAGGGGGAGGAGGAAGGACAGAAGGAGCATCAGTCTTCCTGGCCACCGGGGGCCAAGCACAGGGGTCTCCTTCAGCCCTTTTCCCAGAGGCTGCAGCCGCACAGCCGTGCTTCAGATACAGATAATCAGAGTTGGAAGGGACCTTATAGGTCATCTAGTCCAACCCCCCGCCCAAGCGGGAGACCCTACACCATTTCTGACAAATAGCAGTCCAATCTCTTCTTGAAAGTCTCAACTGATGAAGCTCCCACAACTTCCAAGGGCAACTTCTGTTCCATTTGGTTGATGGTTCTCACTGTCAGAAAGTTTCTCCTTATTTCCAGGTTGAATCTCTCCTTGTTCAGTCTCCATCCATTATTCCTTCTCTGGCCTACAGGCGCGTTAGAAAATAGCTTGACCACCTCCTCCTCTCTGTGGCAGCCCCTCAAATATTGGAAGACTGCTATCATGTCTCCCCTGGTCCTTCTCTTCCCAAGACTAGCCAGGCCCAGTTCCTGCAACCGTTCATCGTATGTTTTAGCCTCCAGTCCCCTAATCATCCTGGTTGCTCTTCTCTGTATTTTTTCTAGAGTCTCAACATCTTTTTTATAATGTGGTGAACAAAAGTGGATGCAGTACTCTAGGTGTGGCCTTACTAAGGCTTTATAGAGTGGTATTAGTACCTCACTTGATCTTGATTGTAACTTAGGGTTGCATTAGCTTTTTTGGCTGCTGCTGCACACTATTGGCTCATATTTAGCTCGTTGTCCACTAAGACTCCAAGATCCCTCTCCCAGTTCCTGCTATTGAGCCTGGTTTCACCCAGTCTATATGTGTACTTCTGGTTTCCCCTTCTATTCCCTCATCGTTTATGAAGATATTGAAGAGTCCTGGGCCTAAGAGGGAACCTTGTGGCACCCCACCGCTTACTTCCCTCCATGTAGACTTAGAGCCATTAAGGACTACTTGCTTCTCCTCAAGAGGGCTGCCACGCTTGTCAAGGATCTCTGATGAGAGTGGTGCCCACATCCTTGCGCTCTGCAACCTCTCCGTGGCCTTCGATACCATCGACCAGGGAATCCTTTTGGGCCAGCCGTGGGGCTGGGACTGGGTGGCAGTCTTGTGCAGGTTTGGCTCCTTCCTCCGATCAGTGTTAATAGGGAGGGAGGGGTCCAGCCCCGTGTTGTGCCACAGACCTCGGTACTCTCTCTGCTCCTCTTTAATATCTAGATGAATCTGCCGGGCGAGATCAACCGTCACCGTGGGTTAAGGTATCTGCATGACGCCAATGATACCCAACTCTGTATCTCCACCCCTGGTGATCCAAGTGATGCTGTCCAGGCCACCTCTCACCATGCTTGCAGGTTGTGGGGGCCTGGATGGGGGACAATAGGCATTGAAAGGACCCTGGCAAGAGCAGATGGCTTTGGCTGTGTGGGGCCCTGAGATTTGGACTTTTGTCATCTTTAATCCTGGATTGGGTGGAACTACCCCCCAGATGGATCTGGGCCACAACTTGGCAGTTCCCTTGGACACGACTCCTGTTCAAGCCAGCAGGTGGCAGCCATGCCTAGGGGACCCTTTCTGCAACTACGGGTTGGGCACCAGTTGCGTCCTCTCCTGGATCAGGACTCGTTCCCATCATTTCACGGCTGGACTAGGGCCGTGATGGTGAACCCATGTCATGCGTACCACAGGTGGCACACAGAGCCATTTGTGTGGGCACATGAGCCCCAGCCAAAGTTACCTGCACTGTGCATGTTCGCGCCTCCCAGCTGATTTTTGGCCGTTTATGGCTGTTTTTGCCCTCCCGGAGGCTTGAAGGAAAAGCCTCTGCAGCCTCGGGAGGCTGGAAAAATGGGCCTTCCGGAAATACCGTAAGTGCCAAAACGGGCCCATTTTCAGCCTCCGGAGGCTGCAGAGGCTTTTCCTTCAAGCCTCCGGGAGGGCAAAAACAGCCTCAAACGGCCAACAATCAGCTGGGAGGCGCGAACATGCACAGTGCAGGTAAGAGGGAAGGGAGGGGGTGTTGCATGCGCAGGGGGCGGAGTTATATGTGGCTGTTCAGTCTGGTTATGGGGCAACCACAACTTCTGGAGGCATTCTCTGGTTAATTGTTCTCACCGCAAGTTTCTCCTTAGTTCTGGGAGGTGAAGATAAGCAATGAGCATAACGGCGAAACCAGCAACAGCCAAAACGGGGCCCAAACCCAACCCATCCAACAGCCCAAATCATTTACCCGATGGGCTCCCACATCGACCTGGCCCTGCACTGTGGGAGAACCCCCAAATTTGGATGCCTGATGTGAACCGCCTGAATCTCCCGGGGCCTGGAGCCTGTCCAGTTACTCACAGACAGGAGCAGGGATGCCCTGGCCGCAGCCTCGGGGAGCTAGTCCAGGAGGCGTCCTTGAGTTGCCCCGAGATGCCCATCAGGGTTCGAATCGGGAGACAAAGGAGGAAGGTCTCTGCAAGTCGGCTGGAATCACATCCAGGGGCTGGGAACCTCCCCACCCCCACCCCCCACCCCCCCACAAATGGAAGGGCAGCAAGTCTTGGGAGCCCAACTGACCCAGCCCCAGATTTCTCCTGCCGTTCTCCCACCCACGGCCGCTCTCCCGCTCCCCACCCGGGGCTGAGAGCTTTAAAAACGCAGGGAAAGGCAGCGGCGGCGTTTTCAGGCTTCCTATGCGCTCCTGATGTCACCTCTCTCTCCACCCTGTGGACAGAACAGCCCACCTCCCACGCCACCAGGAAAGGGGTCCCGCCGTGGCCCCAGATCTTCTCCATCCCTGGACGGACCCCTCATTCCATACAGGCTGAGCCAAAAAAATGTTAAGACAAAAAATGTTAAGACATAACATTTGGGCATGAACAAGTTTCATCAAGTTTATTGTTTTACCTGCTTCAGTAAAATAAAAATTCCATGTACGTTCTTTATAAAATGGCTTAAATTAAGGCAAAATCCCATAGAGTGTCTAAACAAGTGCCTGTCGTTCTGCACGAGAGAGGGAGAGAGCCAGGCCCACTGACACATACACCCACACACCCACACACCCCCGGTTGCTCCAAGGAATCGGGACAAACCTCCCTGAAACAGCCCTCGTGCCCCCTCCTCGGTTGAGAGCCAAGAGCACGGGGACCGGCCAGCAGAAGCCAGTAAACCTTGAATGCGCAGGCTTGTAAAGCTACTTCTTGCAGCCCAGAGAACAAAAAAATTGCAAACACACTACGCTGAAACACAAAGACAACACAGAGGAGCCTCTGGCGGCCCAGATGCCAAGGAGGAGAAGCTGAAGGGGGGCCCGGCACTCCCCGTGTTAAGACTGTTGTCCCTGGAAGGCTGCAGGTAGGTTCCCCCACCCACCAGCCCTCACTGGGTGTGCCCCCCCCCCAAAGGAGGGCTGGGGGGGAGAGCTGCAGCCGCTTCCTTTCCCAAACTGCCTGTCGGAGCCTCCTCCTCCTCCTCCGTGAGTCCCAGCTGGGCCAGAAGAAGAGAAGGGGCCCACCAACCCCAGTCCGTTGCCTCCCCCTCCAGGGCTCGGGCAGTCACTTTGCAGGAAGACTTCTTACCTCTCGCATGGCCTTGTTCCCTGGAAGTGGCCTTGAGGCAGCCACAGGCCGGGCAGGGCCAGGACCGACTTCCACGAAGAGCTGCGGTCGTGGAAAACGACCTGGCCTGGCCTTGGTGGCCAGAAGTGACAGCCCAGGGAGCTAGGAAATGCTGGGCTCTTAAGCTCCTCCTGAGGCCAGCATTTTGGGGTGCCGTGCCCCAAGGAGTCAGTCTGCAGGCCCCGACACCCCTTCCTTCCAGCACACGAGCCCCCGGAAAAGACAGACGGGACTAAAAGCCTGCGGGGACAGAGTGGGGATGTTGTTTTTTGAGACCGGCTCATTCCTTGAAGACTGGGTGGCCTTTCTGGGAAGGACGAGCACCGCAGCGTCTTCCACGGAGAGGGGAGTTTTAAAAAGAGGAAACCGCTGGAGCCCTAGTTATGCTGAAGCGATTTATCATGGCCAGACAAGTGCAAATGCTGCCTACAGGTTTTTGTTTTTTTTAAAAAAGACATTAATGCTAGTAGACTAAAACGGGGAAAGGCAAGGCATCTGCTTGCTGATTTGTCTTTTAAATAGTTGCTGAAATTCTATTTGAACCTTCGTAAAAGCACCATATTCCAAACGGAAGGGGATTTGGTATGAAACGCAGGCGGCCGCCCCTCCAAAGTGCAATCTGGGAGTCTCCTAACAGTTCAAGAATTGACATCGTGCCTCTGAGCGAAATGCACAGGGGACCAAACCAGTCCTCAGCTGCACTGGGGGAGGGGGGGAGGGACCGGAAGAAAAGTGGGCGGGGGTGAGAGGGAGTCTAGCCAGACTATGCTCGGCTGAGGGGGCTCGTCTGTCCTGGAGCGTCGTCCTTCAGAGGGTCACCGGGCGCCTCTCCCTGGGGCTGCTGGGCCGGCGGCTGCTCAGGCTGGGGCTCAGCAGGGTCCGTCTCCTCCTCTTCCTTCGCCTCTTGCTCCACCTCCAGGAAAGGGGCGCGTGGCTCCTGCTCTTCCTCCTCCTCCTCCTCCTCGGGGCCCATGGGAGTGCCGGCGGGCTCTCCTGGGGGGACAGGGGAGGCGGCTGCTTCTCCATCGGCCTCTGGGTGGGATGCTGGAGGACCCCCCGCTTTCGGGGGAGCAGGGCAGCTGACGGGGGAGACGACTAAGGGAGGATGAGGTAGCTCTTTCTGCATATAGAAAAGCATAGGTCAGGATCACAGGGGGGGAAGAGAACTGGCCCGCCACAGGCTCTCCACAGGCCCCCTCAATCCGAGCCCCTGGGGAGCCAGGAGGAGAGGAGGGGCGGCTGGGAGGCTTTGCCCGAAAGCACCTCGCTCCCTCCCCCCCCCCGCCCACCTTCTCCCCTGCTCCGGTCCAGCAATGCTGCGCCCCGCAGCTGCCCAGCTTTGCTGCCAGAAGAAGCCCAGCACTGGGCAGCACCTAGGCCCATCCGCCAGGAGCAGCAGCCGAAGGACCCCAAGGGGGTCAGTTTTCAAGGCACCTCGTGCCAATCCCTGGCAGCGAAAGGCGAAGGAAATCAGGGGGCTGCTCAGCTCGGAGTGCCAGCCCCGGCGGGGGGGGGGGGGGGGCGGCGGGTTGGGCTGCTTCTCGCCGTGGCAGGTGCCACTCCAGCGCCCAATGCTCAGTTTCTGGGTTGCTATAAAAGCCGATTCGGCCAGTTCAGTCCTGCTGCTCTCCTCTTGCAAGGAAACGCGGGACTTTTCAGCACCTTCCCACCACTTGGGGATCAGGTGGGGCTCTCACCTGCCAACCAAGCTCTTTCACCTTTGACCTGAAAGGTCACCTTTCAATTTAAGGAACAGTTTGGTCCAATGAATTCTCTCTGCTCATCCCCAAAAGGGAGAAACTGACCAAGCTCTGCTCTTCTAAGCCCTCCCCCGCTCCCCACACCAGACCAGAGTCCACAACAGCAGCCCCCGAGACAGTGCACGACTGCAGACAGGACCCTCAAGGGGGGAGGGGAGGGAACCCTTCGCTTCATCACACTTTCCTTTTGCCTGACTGATTTTACTTGCTTGATTGTTGTGAGCCACCCTGAGTCTTGCGACAGACGAGTTTAGTAACAATAATAGCTGGGTAAAAATCCCAAATTGGATCCGAATATCTGGCTGATGACGGAACCAACCATAAAACTCCACTGCACACACCAACACACCCACGAAAGGACCGCAGGGGGTCCATGCCCTCCCAGGGAAACTTCCAAGGTCCAGGGGCGGCTGTGAGGCACCAAGCCCCCTCCTCCTCCTCCTCCTCCTCCTCTTGAACGGGATGGGGGGCTCCCGGGACACACAGGACCACTGTTTGGGCTTTCCTGAGCACCCCCGCCCCGTTCCCCTCGTCCCGCCCAGCCTGCTTGCTTGCTTCCACACTGGACCAGGTCAACTGACCATGCATTCGCTCCCTCTCCCTCTCCCACCCCAAAATCAGCAGAACAAAGTCCACCCACTGTTTCCCATGTTCCCCAGCCGATGTCAGGGAGGGAGGGACAACCCTCGTCCCCTCGTCCTCACCCTCCACCCAGAGAAGCTCCCACCGCCCTAGGAAGCCGGCTCCACCACCCAGTCACTCTTAGGAAACCTTTGCTGAAACCTTCCCTGTTTCTCGCCCCAGGGCCGGCTATCTCGGGGGGGGGGGGGTCTGAGAGGTCCCCAAGACCCTCTCGAAGGTCCACAAAATAAAATTTATTTGCCAGCCTATGTTGAAAAATCAGATGCGTTAAAATCTCATCGATCAGGAGAGGCACCAGCTGCAGCGAATGCCCCCATTTTGCAGCTCTTTTGGGGTCTCCTCCTTTTAACTCCTGGAAGCGGGAAGGGGGTCCCGAAAGAAAGAAAAGCCGAGGGCAACTCTGAGCGGGTCTGGGGGAGTCCCAGATTAAACACGCCCCACCCGCTCCGCTCCTTCCCCCACCCTCGGGTGATTTACAATTGGCATCTGAGCTGCTTGCTGGGCAGAGGCGCCCCCTGCAGGACACCCCCCACCCCCCCACCCCGCCCAGCAGAAAATGGCTGCCCCCTCCCCAACCTCTTTCACCGAGAGGCCTGGCCTTGGAGGAAGGGGCCACGCCCAGGGGAGTTGGACAGGAAGGGGGGAGAATGGAGAGGCAAAACTTCCCTTGCCTGGAGGGGAAGAGCCACGCAAGAGGTCTACTCAACTTTAATCCTAGTTAGGGGCTTGCTAGATTCATATCAAACTGGTATTCACCGCAAAGCCGCTGCCCGTCCAGAACGTGGCCAGCTCCCGGCGCCACAGGGCCACGAGGAGGCTGGTGAGCAGCGTGCAGGGCACCAGGTAGAGGAGGGCCGGCTGGCCCTTCCGCATCCAGGCCAGGGCCGCAAAGGTTGCCAGGAGGCCGATGCCGTAACCTGCAGGGAGAAGGAGGAGGAAGCAGCAGGTCTCTCCCTCACCCGCCCAGACACAACCCCCCGGGCCAAAAGATGAACAGAGGGAAGCCCCCCCCCCACCTCCTCTTCCAGCCTCTCCGAAGCCCCAGGAGGGCAGAGGCCCCGGCAGAGACCCCCTACTGTGCAGGGCCGGCCCGGGGGGGGGGGGGGGGGGGTGAGGTTGGGAAGGCCTTCTGGGCATCGAGTGACTTCCTCCCGGGGAAGGCTCCATCAGTGGGGAAGATGTGCCAGCCGAAGGCCCCTGGGTTGGGCCTTCAGACAGAGGGGGAGGTGGCGGGGGCAGCCCACGTACCTATGGTGCAAGCTACAAAGTACACTCTGGATGACTGGACTTGGATATCAAACCTGTGGCAATAGGCCACCAGCAGACCTGCACGGGGAGAGGAGGGCAGAGGAGTCGGCTGCCTTTCCGAAGGAGCCCCAGGCAGACCCTCAAGGCCCTCCGCACGGTGGGCTTCCTGAGGCCGCCAGGGACATAGACCCTGGTTCTAGGCACCCAGCCCAAGAAGGGGGCAGCCGTGAGGGCCCGGGGCCTGTTTGCCACACAGGGCAGACTCATCCAGAGCCACTTGGCCAAGCAGGGAGGGAGGGAGGGAGGGTCAGGAACTCCTACCTGGTACCAAGATGTCCCCAAATCCCAGGAGAGAGAAGGGCCTGTCACAGAGGGCCAGTGGGGAGAAGTTGAGCCGGGGGACTTTGAGCACCATGGGGAGCTTTGGAAATGAAAGAGGCGTCAATTCAGCTCTGCCCCCAGTTGTGCTGCAGGAAACCCCTCCCCCTCCTTCTTCCCTGGCCCTCAAGGGACAAAAAGGTCAGCCCCCCCCCCCCAGGAGCCCAGAACACAGGGACCAGCCCCACAGGAAGGCCGGAGGCATGTTCTTGACGGTGGCTGTAACAACCAGATCTCGCAGGCCGGGCCGGGCGGGCTCCCCTCTGTCCGGACCTTTTCCCAATGTTATCTCGCTTCCCACCCAGGGCTGCTCTTTTGGGCCCAGCTATTCAGCCTGTCGGCTCACATGCCCCTCCCTTTGCCCCAAGGGCCCAGCAGCAGCAGCCCTGCCCTGAGGGAAAGGTGGGTCTCTCCCCTGCAGCCAGCCCCTCCTTGTGTCCTGCCCCCTGACATCTTCCAGAGCAGCGGTTGCCAACCGGTGGGTTGAGGCCCACTGGTGGGCCGTGAGAAAATTTTGGTGGGCCGCAGAGAAATCTCACCCCCAGAGCACCCCTCCAAAACAATTAATCCAGGCTGCGCAGAAAAACAAGGCCGCGCTGCCCACATGGCCCGCGGAAACCCTCCCCGCCCACTCACTCCTTACCCGTCAAACTTGCCTGATAAATTACTATTTTTCCTTTTTCCGACCATCAGCTGTTCTGCTGTGCCGGAAGATTTAGATTAGCTAGGAAGCAGGAAATGGTTGGATTTCTTGCTTTCTAGCTAGTATTTAGATCTTCGCCTCTGCTTTTAAGCACAGCCGAACCTCCCTTAGGACTGAAGGTTTGCTTGCAAGCAAATTCAATGCAGACTCACGGCAGGCAAATTTGAGAGACTGAGCTAGCCGATGACAGATAGATAGATCACTGAATGATTCAGTGAGCAACTCAATCTGCCAGTTTTGCCTGATTTTTGGGTAAAAGTTGCTCTTTTATAAAAAATTCAGTATTTATATAAATATTTATAATATTTACATACAAGCCATGCCCAGCCAGTCACATGACCACCAAGTCACACTCACAAATTAGGCCATGCCCACAGAACCGGTTAGTGGTCCCTGGGATCTAAAATTATGAGTTTGGTGGTCCCTGGGGTCCAAAAGGTTGGCGACCCCTGTTCCAGAGCACCCCTCAACAAGCCCCTCCCACTGCCAGCCATTGCTTGGTCACTCAGCGTCCAGGGCCTGGCATGCCCGGTGGGGGGGGGGGCGGCTCTCCACAAGCATGAGAATCACAGCGGCAGCAGCCAACGCAAGAGGGGCCAAGCCTGGCCAAGGGGGCCCTGCTGCCTTCTGGAAGCTGAGGGCACCTGCCGCATGAAAACCACCTGGCAACTCAAGGCTGTTGATCAGCTCTGCAGCGATGCCCTTGGTGGCTCCTACCTCACCGAGGCCACACAGAACAGCCCCCCCCCCCTGGCTGCAGCAAGGAAGCCCTTCTCCCACTGCCAGCTGCTCACAGACCTCTCCCCCCTCCGTCCCCGAGAGTCCCTGGTGAGCGGGAGGCCTCTCGGAGGGGCCACACAGAGGAATCCTGCCTCCCCACCCAGGGAGCTGGAAAGGAGAGCCCAGCCCCTTCGCACGGCTCCAGGGCAGGACACAAAATGACGGGGTGGGGGGAGAGCATCTGCCTTCGGAGCAGGGCAGGGGGCTCCCAAGGGCCTTTTGGGTTGTCAAACCCACCAAAATCTCAGCTCTCCCAAGACCAGTTGTCAACTCAAGGCCAACTCTCCCTTTCCTCGTACGGGGAACCCTAGACCCCCCCCCCCCTCCAGGCCCTTTCCCCCTTCCTGTTTTTGAGCCATGATTCCTCCCCACTTGCCCCGGGGCAGCATCCGCTCACCTTTTCACGAGTGGACGAGTCAGTCGGTCCAGCGGCCACTTCCACCATGATGCTCTCCCCTGTCTGAAGGGATCAGGAAATGAGGGACATGACGGAGCCCCCAACTCCCACTGAAAACAGCCGTGTGTCCTTCTCCCCCTCCCTGGGAACTGAGCTCCCCACCTTCCAAAGACCAGAGCAGAGGAGCTGACTGGTGGCCAAAGGAGAGCCCCGGCCTCGCTGGGGAATCCTCCCAACCAGCTGCCCTCCAGATGGTCTCAGGTTCTGGACTGCATGGCTGGATCTGGCCAGGGGCCGTAGGGCAAGCAGTCCAAGCAGCCGCGGGGCACCTGCCACGCTTTATCTGGGCCCTTCCTTCTCCTGGCCCCCTCTCAGCCCTCTGGCTTTCTCCAGACCCCCAGGTCAGGAAGCCTTCCGAGGCAAGTCTGCCCAGCCGGGGGGAACCCTTGTACTCCATACCTTCTCCTTCCTTCCTTCCCCGACTGCCCAAGGCACGGCGGCTCCTCAAAGTGCCGGGGGGGGGGAGGGCAGTGCACCCACCTTGGTTAGGTATGGAGTGATGAAGACGAAAAAGACGTCATACACGAAGAGGACCAGGAGGAGCAAAGTGCAGCCCTGGAGGAGAAAAGCCCCCCCCCCCC